TTCTTTTAGATTCATTATATAAGCGGAATATTGAAAAGTTTGAATTCCACTGCAATAGTAAAAGATTATAAGCTATATTACATTTCTAAATATTTTTGAAATAGTTCGGTTTGCACTGTGTTTATAAAAAATGTTGGGAAATACAAACTGTATCAATAATTGTTTATATTCTGTAATTCAATGGAATATATTTATAACTGTAAGTTGTGTGTATATATGGACACCAGATGGCGCTAATACAAACTATGTTTGAATTGAATCCATAGTTAAGCGTTGTAACAAATATTTGCCAGCTACAAAAACATAAATACATTAAAAAAACTGAATTGTGTGGCGCAGATATATACAAGTGTAAGTAACAAAGATGAAAACTTAACAACAATAAAATAGCAAGCAAATAATTGTTTGAATCTCTGCGATATCACTTTTGTGGAAACAGACGTTAAAGAACCAATCTGATTAAGCTTGTTTAAATTCATTGCACAAAATTCGAACCGACTGGTTTTTTTTTGTATATAAATTGTGACATGAGTAGTTTAGGCATGCTTTAACCCATTTCTTTTGGTTTAGTTAGTTTCATTTATATAACTACAGAAAATAATAATACTTACTGAGTGGAGCTCTGTTTCCCGTTATCTTCTAAATTAACATATTCACCATCTTTGTTATCCTTTGAATATTAATTAATATGGTTCACATTCTGAGATTAAAGTTTCGATTTGTTCTCCTTATTTGAAATGGAAATAATATTGGCTGATAGTAATTCAAAGGATTAATTCAATAAAGGCAGGTCAGAAAAAAAAAATATATCATCTTGGATTTCCTGACAAGAATGGGTTATACCTCGGTCGTCAACTGACCAGCCGCACATGTGACCAAAAAAGGTTGCGGGTATATCCTTAAAATACTTAAATTAATTTCTTTTGACAAGTATGATCCGAATATCTATATTTGCCCTTTAAAGGCGCTATATCTCTATTCATTTTGTCTTAAATATTGGATTTCAAAAACCCATTTTTTCACGGTAAGATGACAACATCAATGTTGACTTATAAATATCTTGGTTTTAAAAAAAAAATACTAGCTATATATAAAGAAACGGTATTACCTTTGGTGCTTCACATATCATAGGGATACCTATCACATGAATCCCCGTTGCCATACAGCCTAACAACAGGAACAGGTAAGGGGTTCTTTCTATAATTCCTATATCGGAATAAACACTGTTTTCACAGAGAAAAAAATGAATATTATATTTAATATTCCTGTGAACAAATTTGAAACGATGAACGGAAGTATTGTATTAATTGTGGATACTAATAGTTAAAAAAAAATTGGATTGTGCTATTTTTTTGAAGGGTTTCGCTGGTAAATAGTGATCCTAAAATGAATGAAAACGCAATACTAGAGGGGAGGAAAATCTGAAAAAAGGATAAAAATATATAATAAATGTTACTGGCACTCGCCAAATGAAATTCTAATTATCAAATATGTTTTTATAGAAATTTTATTGTTTTGTAGATGGTTTAGTAAAAGCGTTCTGTCGTTTGTTATAGTATTTTGTTTTATAAACAAGATGGTGGGAATTTTTACTTACTTTACTGGACCAAGGCTTATATTGGTCTTTAGATCCAAGGGATTTGTATACTTCGTTAAAACTGTGTTGATAAAGATAACGCCCGAACCAAACCCAGTCACCACTAAACATATGCTGAATCCTATCTTGTTTGGCATCCACTGTGATAAAAAAATTTATTGTATACAATTAAACTTTGGTAAAATTTAATTATACATAGTGCTGAATTATATATTTGTAACTATATAAATAATATGTATTTGATTTTTTCAACTCTGATGATTTAAAATGTTTTGATGATTTGCTTGTGTTTAACTTTACTGATAAATCAAAAAATCAACAACTGAATGATATTTGTTCAGATCTAACAGCAGATGCTATTTGTGATGATGATTGGCGGAACAACGCTTTAGGTTTTATAGATGAAACTAATGAACTAATTCGTGATAAAAGTCATAAATTTGATATATCAGATCTTTCTTCATCTTCACCTGTCAGTGATGCAAGACAGAGTGTCCGGCTAGGAAATGCGTATGTTTGTTCAGATGAGACGAAAATCCGAGATCCAACATATGTACTTGTAAATGCCACTCTCTGGGAGTAAGAGAGAGAGAGAGAGAAATGGGGTTTAACGTCCACTCGACACAGACTAGGTCATTTCGGGACTAACATATAGTTTAATTTTATTTACATAATTCGCTTGCACGTAGAGGTCTTTAGCAGTGGGAGGAAACCGGAGGACCCAGAGAAAACCCACGAGGTTGGGCAGGCGACCCTACTCCTTGCCACGTACAACCGGGGATTCGAAACCACGCCAGTCGACTCAATGACAGACTTTATGATACAGCGCGCGCACGCTAACCATTCAGCCATCCACCCCCCCTTATGGGAGTAAGACGTTATGGGTTATTACTTGAATAATCATGAATTTTCAACTACGACAAACCAGCTGTCCATATATTGACGAGGATATATTAATGGATATTTTGAATTACAGATTTTTAACTATATTAAGTATTACTTACCTGTGCTACATTAGAAACCGTTGCATTAATAGCTTGAGCAACTCCAATTCCAGGAATCAATCCAAAAGTTATAGCTACTAACCAGATCGAGTGCTGAACAGAGAAGTAGGTTAAAAAATAACTCAGACTGAAAACCAAAGAACAGTGAACTATTGGTAATAAATTTTCTCATCCCCCCACCCTAAAAAAACCCCAAAACATAGTTTAGATATTAATTTCCAAAATTTCAACCACTTAAAACACAAATTTATCAATTCCGGAATACTGTCAAGACAGAAATATATATTTTTCAATTAGAATTAAAATGACACTTTCGTCTAGATTACGTGCCTCCGTATATAAGGAACTTAGTAGGACAACATTTTAAATGTGATGGACCTCAACTTACTCCACTATAATTGTACCGATAATAACTGTAGTTCGAATGCCAAAGTTTTGTTCCAGGAAGGTAGTGATGACCGATGCTACCATCCCAGCAAAGAACAGAGACGTTATCCAAACTTCAGTACCAACATCTTTTCTTTCATACTTTCCTTGGGAGTGAAGATAAGAAATAATGTATGGAGATACATTACCTAGAAAATTAATACATAATCACTTATTTAATAAGAAACCAACTCCCCGTATAAAACCTTGCTAATGAGCGAATAACATGAAAGAAAACCAATTATGACTTAATTATTTAAATTAGAGACCAATACTATACAACATATAAATCAAATAGATATTCAAACATGAAGCAAACAAATTCACATAAGTTCGGACGTAGTACGTTAGTTTTTTGAAATTCACAAAATGAGAAGGCTTATCAGTCGCCAAAGGGAGAGAATTGATGTTTAACATCCACACAACAGTTGACCAACATTAAGTATGTCTTTATTTCAATAATTTCATAGCAGTGGAAGAGAACGAACACTCGGTTTAAGGATGTCTTATGTTTGTACCTTTTAAGATATTCCGATTTTTCTGTTCTTAAATTTCATTTTTGTTTACATTATTGAATACCAATTTTAATGTTCAGACTAAACGATATTACATACTCACCAGATAAATTTCGTTTTTTTTATCATTTCGATGTGGGGATTAAAATATTAATTAATCACCAGATAAATCTACTTTTTCATTACATTAGCGAATGTTAATTTTAACGTTGAGAGATTGAATACTCACTAGATAAATGTCTTATTTTTTTTATATATAAGCAAATATTAATTTTAATGCTGAGACTAAAAGGTATTAATTACTCACCAGATAAATAGACAACCCCAAGAGGAAACTGTGTTATTATAGATCCAACTAAATTAACATATTTTTTAATATCAGCCATAGTTTGGTGTTACTAACATAACTAACTATACACACATAATAAAGTTACAGTAAGTCAAGTCAAATATTTGAAAAAAAAAATCAATAAAAAAAGAAATCGTTCTTCTAGAGAGAACATGAAATATGCATTTTCTGATAACCGTTATCACTTTTATTCTGGACACAATAGATGTATTATAAAGATTATAAAATTTGCATTTATTGAAATGTATTAATAATATATGTAGACTTATACATCTTGAAAATAAATATGTCAAGATTTGTCAATTGATACTCAGCTTCATAAACGTTTTATTAAGTTTTATCATAGTATTTTTATACTTAGTAGTAATTTATGTCTTCATATATGTGGACGTACTGCATTGTTAGGAAGTACATCTGCTATGTGCAACATTATCAATTACTTATCGCATTTCTAATCTATAGTCTGTATCAAAGTTGTACACATACGCTAACGCCCTCTGGTGTAATAATGTTGATAATTCATTATATTTTTCTGGACATTTTCATTTCAAGATTTTAACTTCAAGACTTTTTGAAACGTAGAAAATATTTTCATAAGAGTTCAAATTCCAGATTTGTTTTAGATACTTTCAGAAACCAATGAATTGATTTCTTTGTCGTGTAAAATTAAGAAATTATTTTTTAATTTTAATATTTAATGATATATAAAAGTTACCGATAAAACGCCGAAAATGAAACATAAGGTCAATTTTTTGTTTAAAATGTTGATTTTGTGCATGAAATGTTGACATAAGAATGTAGACTCAAGAATCATTAGTTTAGAATGTTGCGTTCGTGTCTAAAATGTTCAAACTGGAATGTAGAAAGAAGAATCATGAATATTGTCCCGTTTGGTCTTCCATATATACGAGAATACATAGATTTAAGAGATTGTTCACCATCTGAATATATAAACTTTAATGAAATAATTAATCAACTCTGTATTAATTGAGCACATATATATATATTTATATGTATTAATTTTCCATATTTATTGTACTTAGTGTACGGATAAAGGTTATTATTATTTGTAAGTCTTCATCGTGTTGTAGAATTGGAATTATTCCCAAATGTCAGAAAATATAAAAAAGTGGATTTTTTTTTTTGCCGGTATATCGATGGCTTTAAGTAACACATTGTGACAAAATACATATCAAAAATCTCTCCGCCAACTAATTCCAAAGGTAAAAAGTACCATCATCCCGCCATTAGCCAATGAGAAAATTCAAATGGTATAATATCAACTGATATATTTGGATGTCACTTCATAAATTTATTTCATACAATAAACTTGTAAAAAAAAATCATTTAATTGTAAGTATAAATTTCTGTAGCCATTAATCAAGTTTAAAAAAAAGAAGTTTAGGGTGTTAAAGGGGAATTGTAATCTTGGACTTTCACCCTTCATCTCTATTAAAGGGGCATTATGGGAGATTAGATAAAGAGTTGACAGTTCTCGCTATAATAGTTAAAAATAGATAACGTAAGTAGAATATGCTGAAAGTTGCAGTCAAATTGCCCCACTCTGAACCGTGATATTAGCTTTGGAATTTCGGCTAGCCCCGATCATCATTACTAATGCCGGTATGATAAAAATCAAAGTCTCGATTATCCAATTTTACGTTTAATTATTTTTCAAAAAATGTATTCCAATCCGCTAAATATCGCAGGCTAGGAGATGGCACCGAGAGTTGATTATGGTCTGGATAATTTAATAAATGTCTAATTAATAATTTAGATAAGATTTCAGGCCTAAAGAAAGATCTGCAATAGGCAGATTTAGCTCTTGTATAATGCATGTTTAATCAACAATAAGAACGGGCCGTAACACCGGGTGTAATGATGTGAATCAGCCAGAAATTATTATGTGCCACCTAGGTCTGAGGACTAGAATATGTATATCATTGTCATATCTTGTTGAGCCTTTCTTCGGAAAGCTCGCAAGAGTTTCATCATTCATCAGATTATTATATTTTTTCTAGTCTTCACTGTCGAATATTTAGCCGACAAAAAGGAAAAAAAAATATGACATAAATTGAATTCCAACAGCATAGTTGCACTGTCATTACAACGGTGGACCACGAAAAAACATTGGACGTAAAACCAACCGTTCGCAATTTGAAATGCATGTAAAGTAACCCTTTACATTTGAAGTTGGCGAAAACGTGTTGGCGAGACGTTCAACCCCATTTCTAACACTTGGAGAAGTAGGGAGGTATGCATGTCTATCAATCTGTATTCCAAAACTTACAAGGCATACAACTGTGAATCAGCCAGAAATTATTATGTGCCACCTAGGTTTGAGGACTAGAATTGTCTATATGTATATCATTGTCTATATGTATATCATTGATCCTAACAATTAACACAGGTAATATCCTAAAAAAAATGTCATCATCTTTGGTAATGCCAAATTCGACTTAGTCTAAATCAGAGCTAGGGTGACACGTAGTTCAGCATACGCCCACTAGTAGCTTACCGACCGAATAATTCATGTAAAATTCTTAATATGGATAGGGTTCAGCGTTAATTGTATTCAGAAATCCCAGTAGGGTGATTCCAAGAATTCTGCAAAAAACTAATGTGAAACTCCGAATGTTTATTATTAGTCAAACAATCACTGCAAGTTTTAAAACCATCTCTCAAAAACTATCACCTGTCTAGAGCGATTACACGGTTTTGATGGAAACGGTAAAAAAATCCTTAGAAATAAATGGTAGAAAATGGTTCTGAAAGAATATTAAAAACTCTGCTGAGATAACAAGGTTTTAATGGAAATGACATTAATTCTGCAAGTAGTTGAAAAAGCCCAGCAAGTGAGAAAAATATCTAAAAATCCGTGACCTGTAGATGGGTTATAAAGTTTCGACAGCAGGGACAATACATCTCTGAATAATTTTGAAGTCGAGTTCTATGATGCCAATGAATGGACGACTTTGTTTCAGGCATATTAGACTGGGTGATGATTACAAGATATGTTTGAGATCAATCATCCTCCGAAATCCATATAATTATTGCCGATTTACCTACTTAAGGTGACGGATGTTTGATATTGCTAAAAAGCAACCACTCCTTTCCACGGCATTTGCCATTATCTAAACAATGTATTGAGGAGGTTTTCGTAATTAAAACATAGCACTAACGATATCTCAATGCTCGATATTTTAAAATCAGGTCGTTAAAGACAGCCGGTATATTTACGCACTGCATAGATATCATAGATAAAGTTTTGTATAATGTGACAATGCATGCACATTTACATGATCGCACAAGAATGTTAACAGTGGCATTATACCTAATATTACACATCGTTTTCATTACCATTTGCGCCGATGGAATCCGATATGAACCGAATTGGAAATCTTTAGATTCACGACCGCTTCCAGCATGGTACGATGAAGCAAAATTCAGTATATTCATCCACTGGGGAGTATTTTCTGTACCAAGTTACTCTCCGAATCACGAGAGTGCATGGATTTGGTGGTACTGGAAAGGTCAAAAACTACCATGGATTGTCGATTTTATGGAGAAGAATTATAGACCAGATTTCATGTATGCAGACTTTGCTAAAGACTTTACAGCTGAGTTTTTTGACGCCAATGAATGGGCGAATATATTTCAGGCATCTGGTGCCGAGTAAGTATTACATCAATCGATCGGCCCAGTCATTACCTGCCCGGAAATCTATGTTGCAATACTCTGATAAACCCGTCATCTTTTTTTATCGTGGTTTCAGGTATATGGTTTTCACTGCTAAACATCACGAAGGTTTCTGTAATTGGCCCACTAACCATTCCTTTAACTGGAATTCTATGGCAGTTGGACCTAAAAGGGATATCGTAGGTGTGTATGTATTAATTCACAATTTAAAATCATTACCATCTTCGCTAAACATAATCATATATCGCACTTATCTTTTTTATAGTCAATTTCACTTATTCATAATTTTGTCTTTTTTTATGAAACCTTTTAAATTTCGGATATGGTGTGTAGAATGTGCATATCTATAACATAAAATGCTTCCTGGTCGGTCACTTTATACAATACTTTGGGCGTTATTGACTAAAAACGTTCTTGTTGGTCGGTCCTTGTCGGTGATTAGTAGGACCCTTGTAGGTATCTAATTGTATTCATACCCTTTCCGGATCAATAGATAGCATTTATCTGTGGGATTATATGGTTGAAGGTGAGGTTTTGTCGTGTGCTTAGTTCATGTAGTTGGGAGCTTTGCATTATATTGACATTGTTTTCTGGTGTTGGGACGTAGACATAGTGGTGTATTATGTATGTTAGTTTTGCACTTTTCCTATAATTTAAAAAGCTTTTAAAATTATTTCAGGTGAACTGGCGGCAGCAATTAAAAGTAACACATCTCTTCATTTCGGTTTATATCATTCTCTATTTGAATGGTTCCACCCTCTTTATTTAAGAGACAAAGAAAATAAGTTTACTACCCAAGATTTTGTTTTCGTGAGTACTCATTTAGCCGGACGCACATTGATTCAAATAAACAATAAACAGAAAATAAATTCGTGTTTATTGATTAAATATTGGTTACTATTTGTTTTATTGCCGCAGATTGAAATGAGAAGCAGCAGCTACACAATTTTGTTTTCCGTTTATTGTCTATCTGAATCATTGTGCGTCCGGCTTTAAATGTATGATATAGGTAGTCTACATTGTTGGAAAGCAGCGACATCATATGTGATAGGTACATTATTGTCAAGCAGCGACATCATATGGATATATTCCGCACGGTAGGCTCAAAGTAGCGACAGCTGAAGAGTAAAATCCCCCATCTCAAAACACGATGAACAGAATTCTATTTATGGCTCTGGTTAAGCAGGTGTATAGTTCGTATAGATTCTATATAAGCGAAAATCAGATAAACTAGGACCTATTTCTTCTATTATCAGGATAAAACTTTACCGGAACTTTATGAATTGATAAATGATTACAAACCTGATGTCATTTGGTCTGATGGGGCCTATGGTGGAAGCCCAGAATATTGGCAATCCTTGGAATTCCTTGCATGGCTTTACAATGACAGGTTAGTAACAGCTGTGTTGTTGTATATTACTACTATACAGAATTTGATATTATGTTCCGTATAATTACCCACTTTTTTATATTGCTACAATAAAGAACATGGTGTTATTCCCGATTTCATTAACCACTTTTGTATACTAATACAATAAAGGACTTGATATTATGTGCTGCGGCATTGGTCACTGTTGTCTATTACTGTAATAACGGACACGGTATTATGTTCTGTACCATTACCCACGTCTAATTTATTTTAATTGGTATATTTATTATGCACATATTCATTTAATCTACATATATATAGCCCGGTCAAAGATACAGTAGTTACTAATGATAGATGGGGATCTGGTTCCAACTGTCATCATGGTGGATTCCTGACCTGTTCTGACAGATACCAACCAGGTTTAAAACTTACTTTATGTAACTTCTGTGTGACTGCACGACAAGAATGTTCGAGATTGATCAAGTCGGGTATCTCTAAAATTGACGAGAAAAATGTTCCCTAGTACGAAAAACCGAGGTCCGACCGCGCTCCCCAAATGTTGACCCCATTCGAAAGTTAAAACTATCAAGATCTCGCATTTGTAGTGTTCGTAACAATAATCGTTGAAAGTTATATTCGAATAAGAGTACGTGGATGTGCCATTGTATGTAAACAATTACCCGTAGCTATAGCAAATAAAAAAGTAACAAAGTTATTATTGTTGACGTTGCCATAAACCCATTTCATTACACCATGTACTAAATTATTAGATATTTTTTTAGGGCATTTACTGAAAAGAAAATGGGAGACTGCTGTTACCGTGGATATGATTTCATGGGGATATCGACGAAACGCAGTATTCGATAATTATATTTCAACTAGGGTGGCTCTGAGCACATTAGTTCGAACAGTAAGGTATATAAATATTTCATATTCATTTATGCTCTTGTTAACGAAAGGCAGGATCCAATAAGCTTTAGACATTCAAGGAACAATAATTGCCAGAATACCAATGAAACAGTATCAACACGGAGGGCCAAAATAAGTATTGAATTAGATTGGTACATGGAAGGTCAACTGTTGCTCATCTTCTATCTGGAATTGTTCACCCCGACAAGTCTTATTAAATAATTACGATTTTGAAACAGCCCATAGAACACTTTAAGATTTGCTTCACAGTCACAGCCCCAAAGTTTACAGTCTCGCGGTTGTTCATCACAATGATGGAATTAAATACAATACGTAAATTCCAGCTGATTTTCCATTTTAGCTATGGGGGTAACATGTTGATGAATATAGGACCGACATCATCTGGAACAATTGCTCCTATATTTGAAGAAAGACTACGAGATATGGGAGCATGGTTATCTGTTAATAATGAGGGTATCAAAGGAACTCGACCGTGGACACATCAGAACGACACGATTGCGAGAGGTCTTTGGTAAGATTTCCTCACGGTTTGCTTTGCTTTGCTGTGATGCTATCATGATACCTATTTAGTTTAATTTATTAAGCTAGTCAAATAAATTGTAGAATTAGATCTTCATTTTGTTTTGGTTATTATGGTTTCTTTGGCCTTCAATGTAGAGAGATAATCACAATACACAGGACATTCCCTCGAGCCTGTCATTTACTCCGAGGACAAAGCATCTTCATCATTGGCTAGATCTTTATCCAACAGTAGATGTGTGGCCCTTTAAAGTATCCTTGATGCGTGTCCGAACAAAGGGTTCATCATAGTTCAGGACTCCAAAACGTAACCATAGAAATTATAATTACCAGATGTTTGCCGCAAAATGACCGAAGTATTGTGTTGGCGAACAATATTTGGCACCGTGAGCAAGGGAACTAGAATTAATATTCTCCAGATATTTAAGATGCATTATGAAGCGCTACATCTGCCCAATGAAGATCTTTCGTTTGGCCTCAAATGTTATAGAAATCATTAATTAGACATTTATTTACATGCCAAGCCCATAATCAACTCTACAGATCATTGGATGGTTTTGATTTTCAACGGATTTAAACACGATTGCCAGTTAATAATTAATTAGAAAATGGATAATCGAGACTAACAACGGTAGCAATGACAATTGAGACTGCACTAACTCCGCTCAGAATGAAGTAATTTGACTGAAATTTTCAACATCTTCCCTTTTCATTATCTATTTTCTAACATGATGCATCTTTAACAATTGTAACAAAGAAATCAACATGTATTACGCATTCATTTCCTTTATCTTCTAGGTATACTAAAAAGGGTACCAATGTGTATGCCATATCATTTTACTGGCCCGACAACTCTACACTAAGCTTGGGTGCTCCTGTAACTACACCAACGACAACAGTCACGATGTTGGGATATTCGGGCACAATCTCGTGGAAAGCCAGACCTACCAGTGGTATTGATATCACTCTTCCACCTATACCATTCAATAAGTTACCTTGTCAAAACGCATGGACATTTAAAATGAGTGGTCTATCTAATATAGAATAAAACTAAATGACACACCTTCTATTTTGTTTCTGGTTTATCGTAAAGAACACGAGAACAAAAAATGCATTATATCAGTACGGCTGTTAAATTCTCTGTTTATGAGGATATTTGACAATTCAAAATAGTAATTGAATGTTACTAGATAAGAGAACACGAGAAAAATAGAAATGGTCCGTACATTTACTTGTTTTTATTCATTCTATACTTAATAAAAACATCGTTATACACGGACCTTTTCTATATTGTTTCGTTATCTCTTTTCTAGCCACAGCCAATTTCTGTTTTGAATTATCAGATATCCTCCCACAGTCTCATATAACAACTTTTGGTCTTCGAAGGAATTATTAGTGAGCAGAAATTCGCCCGTCTATCTGTTATCACTCGTCACTTCAGTCAGTTATATAGAAGTATAACTCGAGTTTTCCTTTTGCGTTCGTCAATTCTGTTTGTTGAAACATTGATTACGCATCTATCGTAGCAACGATCTCCGTGTTCAAGTTATATTTGGAACGTGTTAAACCAGTTCTATCACATATGTGATAAAGACTGACACCAATATTGTCCTTTAAAATCGGTTCCGAGAAGATGTCTTTAGCCGTCGGTGTAAACCAGCTAACCCAGTCGTACCACGAAACTTGACTCAATGCCCTCACCATGTTTACCATTCTTCAGATTATTACAATATCGCTATGTTTCTATTTTTCACGGTCGACATTTTTTGGGTAACAAGAAGTAATCACATAATTGGGAATGAACGTCATAACGCAATACTTCGGCCATTAAGTAACTAAATTCCAACTGGCCATCTTTGCATATTCCACCCATGTTAAGAGTAGGCCGTAGCGCCGCTACCCAGGCAAAATTACCCTCATAGCGCACTGTATGGGGTATGCCCGTCATTTCCACCCATGTTCAATACTTAGTCTTGGGAAGGCATACAGTTATATACTATGTGTATGTTCTCCTATCACGCTTCGCCACCGCGCTCCACCCCCAACATATGTGGTATCAAATTAACCAGCATGACTCCGTGAATGTTTTAGGCCATCGAATTCGGGCTCCGGGTGAATTGGGCCTCGTGCGAATTTAAGCCTCGGGCGAAACCGGGTATCCTGCTAATTTGCAATAAAGTCAAAATCTAACCTTGACACGAATTATTCTTTGAAAAAAAGGATACTATTCTGTTCTATATAAACTGATCTATAGATAAGACTGATTATATAAAACATTTTCACAAACTGACATCTCCGACTTACACAAAAATGGCATTACTATTACCTCTAATTATTCTGTCAGTTGCGTATGTACATGGAATTCGTTATGAACCGAACTGGCAATCGCTAGATTCGCGTCCATTGCCTGCCTGGTATGATGAGGCAAAATTTGGTATTTTTATACACTGGGGAGTATTTTCTGTTCCTGGTTACTCGCCTGACCATGCAAGCGAATGGCTCTGGTGGTACTGGAAAGGTCAAAAACTACAACCATACATAGACTACATGGCGAAAAATTACAGACCTGATTTCATGTATGCCGATTTTGCTAAAGATTTTACAGCTGAGTTCTTTGATGCCAATGAATGGGCGAATCTGTTTCAGGCATCGGGAGCTGAGTAAGTATAATACAATGTTTATGGGATCTTTCATAATGTTCGGAGACCATTTAACATTATATAAGATTCCAGGTCAACTCTTATATTATTCAATAGCAACACATCCTTTTGATGTCCATTACTGATAAGGTTTCCCTTGATAATAGATAGTAGCCTACTAAAGATATTAAAATGTGTGATATTTTTTTAAAAAGAAAATCGGGTCAAGGAGAGGCAGTGTATCTACGTTTTGATATTAACGTTGCCATTTATAGCTTAAAAATATATACCACAGATAAAGAAAGGCAACCAAAATTACGTTGTCTATATGAAAGGTCACTAAGGAATTCGAAAACCACATCGTAGACATATGTCATTGCCATTTGCGCCAATTATAATGGAGTCCGATATAAACAGAGTTGGAATTCTTTAGATTTACGACCGCTTCCAGTATGGTACGATGAAGCAAATTCTGTATATTGCTCCCACGATTTGGTGGTACTTAGTGGAAATGGGGCTTAACGTCCTATTGTTTTTTCACTAACCGGACAGTGGGGCTTGCGACTACTCTTCGTCGAATTTCAATTACATACACACCAATGGGTACACGGGGCCTCATTTTTGAGTCCCGTCCGTCCTACACCATTGACATGGGGAAACCATGCTAACAATCCCAGGACGTTTCCCAGCCAACACAGGGATTAAACTAGGATCTCCTTGTGGGTGAGCCAGGTCAAAAGCTACCATGGAATGTTGAGATTTTATGGAAAATAATTACAAGTTAGACTTTAAATATGCTGACGCCAATGAATGGGGAGAATCTGTTCCAGGCATCTGGCACCGAGTAAATGTAACGTCAACGAATTCTTCAAGTCACTACCAGCTCTGTTGCAATACTCTGATAAACCCACTAGTGGTGTATTTACATTTTACTGCTAAGAGTTTCTAAGCTAGATGCGTCGTGCTTTCAGGTATATGGTTTTCACTGCTAAACACCACGAAGGTTTCTGTAATTGGCCTACTAACCATTCCTTTAACTGGAATTCTATGTCAGTTGGACCTAAAAGGGATATTGTAGGTTTGTATGTATTTCTATAGTCCTAGCGGTTTTAGAAGTCTACTTTCAGACCACTAATAGTCCAGGCACAACCCCAGATTAGTGGCAATTTTTCGGAAAACAACATTTGATGAAGGTTTCAGGTAGAAGGGTCTCTAGTAAAGATATTTGGAGTTTGCCACCTCTGAAAACTACGGGCTAACTTCGGGAGAGCCGAAAATCCAAGATGGCCGCTATTTTGGATCAACCGTTTGTGAGACGAATAGATCACTGTCCAGCTAAACCGATAAAATGATGTATTACACAGGTCATTTCACCAACAATATATGTCAATTTCTATTTCAGACCATTTTGGATTTGCGCAATCCCGAAGCTAGCCCGTAGTTTTCATAGGTAGCAAACTCCAAATATCTACCAGAAACCATCGTCGAACTGTTTACCCGAAAATTGTCACGGATCTGGAGCTTGTGTCCTCACTATAAGTGACCAAGTCGATTTTTAAGTAATTGCTATTGATCGACAGGATATCCATTCTGGAGCAAGAGTTACGGCTTGTTATTGGACTTATATAATAGAGGATTTGTAATGTTAGTACACAATTTGACAGGTGGTCTCGTATTGGAATTTGTTCTATATCTGATGTTTAGTTTTTGCAGTTTCCTTTAATTAATCGTAAAACGTTTTAACATTATTTCAGGTGAACTAGCTGCAGCTATTAGAAGTAACACATCTCTCCATTTCGGATTATATCATTCTCTTTTTGAGTGGTTCAATCCTCTTTATTTAAGAGACAAAGCAAATAACTTTACAACCCAAGATTTTGTTTTCGTGAGTATTTAATATGTAAGCTTCCTACACAGTACATGGTCGAGGGATATCAAAAAAATACCACACCCAGTGCAGTAATAAATCAGATATATTTACATGAAAATTCGCGTCAACTATAGTTTCCTGTGATGTCTATGATTAAAGTTTGTTCATTTGATCATCCGCCCTAATCTTTTTGGGTCCATAGTATATCAAAACCTAATGGAAAATAATTTATTGATGGCCAAGTTACAGCGGCCGTTTTTAGAAATAAATTACTTAGTACCCTTTTGTCTTTCTACTTATATCAGGATAAAACTTTGCCAGAACTTTATGAATTGATCAAAACTTATAAACCTGACGTCATTTGGTCTGACGGGGCCTATGGTGGGAGTCCAGAATATTGGCAAGCCCTGGAATTCCTTGCATGGCTTTATAATGACAGGTTAGTAACATTTATGGTGTGCTCTTGTATATTACTATAATAAACCGAATAAAGGGCATGCTATTATGTTCTTTGGCAATAACCACGCTTATGTAATTGATTTTAGATAGTAACGTCGTGGTAACAAATTAAGAATCACCCAGAACCCATTGTCCTATTGGTAGTGGTGGGGGCCTGGGACATGTGTTAGTTTTTGTGTTACTTGTGTATCACTAAAACATGTCGTGTGGACATTCCTGATTTAATCGATAACAGTGTCTATTTAATTCCTCATGTTTTCTTGATGTTTCTACATTATATACAGCCCAGTCAAAGATACAGTAGTTACTAATGATAGATGGGGAACTGGTACCAGCTGCCGTCATGGTGGATTCTTGACCTGTGCTGACAGATACCAACCAGGTTTAAACTTTATAACTGTAATACCATACAATCCTAAATTTTACCAGGGAATTACGTATAGCATTAATCTTTGATGTTAAATAATGGATTAGTCAATAATGTATATTATCATAATTCAAATACATACCGGTGTAGGTCTAGCATGTGCGTGGTGATTTTTCAATCAACAGGTAGAATCTGTGGGCCTGATATGGGAACTGTATCCAGTAGTTCACGTGCATGGACGTGATGTAGCTGAGCTGTTATATAATTGAATATCCCATTGCAAATTAATAAATTCACATTCCGTTTGCTAGGGGCAGTGTCTGTAGGGCTGACAAAAAGTATTGCATTATTATTGTGAGTATTGTATTGTCGTCCATTCCTTAGGGGTGAAGCGAAATGTGCTCAAGAGAGAGAGAGAGAGAGAGAAAAAAAAATAGGGTTTAACGTCCACTCGACACAAACTAGGTCATTTCGGGACTAACATATGGTTTAATCTTATTTACATAATTCGCTTACGCGTAGGGGTCTTTAGCAGTGGGAGGAAACCGGAGGCCCCGAAGAAAACCCACGAGGTTGGACAGGCGACCCTACTCCTTGCATGTACAACCGGGGATTCGAAACCACGCCAGTCGACTCAATGACAGACTTTATGATACAGCGCGCGCACGCTAACCATTCAGCCATCCAACCCCCAACAATGATAACCCCTGTGTTAATGTGACATAAAACCCTCTATTTAGTGTACTTACTTGCCGAAGCCGTTTTTAGGGCCATCTTTATTAGTCCGGCAGGTGCATGGCGTTATAAACCCTATGTCATTTCAATTCGTGTTCTACAGGACATCTTTTGGAAAGGAAATGGGAGACTGCAGTTACTGTAGATTTGAGTTCATGGGGATATCGACGAAACGCAGTATTGGATAATTACGTCTCTACAAGGGTGGCCTTGACCACATTAATTCGAACAGTAAGGTATATGAATATTTATACGTGTATATTTATTTTGACAACAGCACCGTACGAGATGAAACAAAAACAATTGCCAATATATTGATAAACAATAAAAGCAAAGCTGGGCTGGATAATTAGCATCCGGAAGTTTCTGCGAATGATTATTGACCTTATTTGTGGGACGTCTTTTTATGTAGTAAGATATTTATTGAGGGAAACAAATTCACACACAAATTTAACTATTTCACCTTATTTCACTGAAACGTCGTGAACCGCAAAACGGCCCATTATAGTGCTGTTTCACTGTTTATCCACAAACGCCCTTTTCAGTAATTTAGGTAACAGGGGAGCAAACGTTACAAACAACGTATTGAGCACATGTAGAATTATTTCCACCACTGTCCCAATGTTTACAGTCAGGCGGATGTTTATTATAATGTGGTAATTAGTTATATCCAATATTTCATCAATTATATTCGATTTTCGATTGTAGCTATGGGGGTAACATGTTGATGAATATAGGACCGACATCATCTGGAACAATTGCTCCTATATTTGAAGAAAGACTACGAGATATGGGAGCATGGTTATCTGTTAATAATGAGGGCATCAAAGGTACTCGGCCGTGGATACATCAGAATGATACCATAGCGCGAGGTCTTTGGTAAGACTTGCTTTATTGTAATTATGATATTGATTAGAAAGGTTCCATTCACTACTTGGTAATCTTCTTGTTCTTGGTAAGCTGAATACTGTACAACCTCGAGTACCATCGACAAAGCTGCTGTCTGGGCGTATTTACACGCTTTGTATGGCTATCATCTTTCTATTAAGAAACAATCAAGGCTATCTATGCATTTTTGGGTTACAGGCCCGTAAGCGTACGGACCCGATGAACGTTAAAGGGGCCGACCTTAAATGCCCTAAAAAAATCGTTTAGAGCTTACCGGTTAGGGGCCTGCTATTCGAGTCCGTGATTACAGCAACTTCAAAAAAATTGGTCCAATATAGCCTAACTTAGGTGGCTGACCTGAATTCCAAACAACCAATCAATCCTTTAGTACACGGAGCGACGGTCGTCGCATGGTATGGTGAACTCGCTCTTCCCGAGAAAATTGTGAAAATTTAAACGCCGCAGATGCGTTTTATTGCTATTCTAGCCCGGTAGTCAAGCAACTCCAAAGTTTTCCAATGGTTTTGCAACTGAAATTCAACTCTATAGGAGCTGCATTCGTAAATAATAATCAACGCCCGCAAAATGTCGCAAAAAGCGGTGCGGTTCCAGACAAAATGTTTTAATCCATATAGTAAATTCAGTTTAAATTCGTGCTTGCAATTAAAAGAAAAGTAAAATTAGCGTTTTATTAGAATTCAGGCGCTTTATTTTGCCAACTAGATGATATTTTGTCAAGCTCCAGACAAAATGTATTAATCCATGTTCAGTTCAGTACAAATTCGTGATATTCAATAAACAGAAACGTAAATTTGGTGTTTTATTAGACTTCAGGCACTTTATTTTGCCAACTAGATTATATCATAATATTTTTTCTTCACTTTACCTGTCTGCCAGAAAGGTCAACTTTCCCCAAAATGAGATCTGCAACTGCCCCCTGTCCCGTCTCGTACGCCTATGCAGCTTTATCTATTGCATTTGCTGTTTGTTTTATACTCCGCCAAGTCACAGCTAGTTACATATGCAAATAAAGGAATAAGCTATTAGTATTATGCTTGTCACGACTTTGAAACTATTTATTAAATATTTGTCTCTGGTGGAAATCGTTTCTGGTACCGAACCTTTAACATGAAAATCAAAACTGAAAATCACCCTCGACAATATAGTATTTATCATCAATGTCCTTTATCTTCCAGGTATACTAAAAAGGGTACCATTGTATATGCCATTTCATTTTACTGGCCCGACAGCTTTACACTAAACTTGGGTGCTCCTGTAACTACACCAACGACAGCAGTCACGATGTTGGGATATTCGGGCACAATCTCGTGGAAAGCCAGACCTACCAGTGGTATTGATATCACTCTTCCACCTATACCATTCAATAAGTTACCTTGTCAAAACGCTTGGACATTTAAAATGAGTGGTTTATCTAATATAGAATAAAGCTAAATGTTCCAATCTTTATTACCTTAGTTGGGGCAGAACAGTAGGATGTTAAAACTATTTCATTTCATTTATCCGTCGTTCATTTTTAAACAAAGCTTGATAAAAGAAAACAATTCTTTCAAATTGGAAAGCTTTACAGATCGCTACGAATCCTGTCTAGCAGCGATAGATTTTTTAGTCAATGTTTAATTAGGCCCGTAACTAGTTTCGCCCCCCCCCCTTGTGAACAATTGTCGACCATAAAAAGAATAGATATACATTGTCCGTCAATTTTACAACACCCTTGAGAACACTTCCCGTCCCCTCGTTGCTCTGAGCTAGTTACGGCCATGTGTTTGATAAGAGACGATTTTAATATATATATCAGAATAATGGCGAATTATACGTACGCCGATTTTACCAAAGATTTCACAGCGGAATTCTATAATACAAAACAATGGGCTGAGTGATCATCTTGAAACTTTACATACGTATTCCTTATACACTAAAGATGACCCCTATTGTTTTTGGTGCATACCCGACCCAAAGGGGCAGAGCCACGCCCATTTCTTGTATTTGTTTGTTTGTCGTCTACAGGCCACATTTCTTAACTATCATCTTGAAACTTTGCATACCTATTCTTTGTAGCCTAAGGAACATTCCTATTGTTTGGGGTGCATGTCCAACCCCCGGGGGCAAACCCACGTCCATTTTCTTTTTGTGTGTCTGTGTGTCGCCCACAGGCCCCAATTTTTGCCTTTAGCGCCCGATGGCCCACGATTCTGAATGGATTATCTTGGAACTTATTCCTTATACCCTAAGGACGGCAACTATTGATGTTGGTGCACGCCCCCCACCCCCTGCCCTTTCGGCGGTGCGACACCCACTTTTTGTTGATATTTTGTCTGTAAATGATATACAGGTTGCAATTATTAACAGATTTGGATCCAATTCGGAATGCTCCAGCATCGGCTGGTACCTATATATATATTGGTCCTTGTCCAACCCCCCAGGGCAGAGCCAGGCCCAATTTTAGTGTTTTTGTCTACAGGCTGGAATTCTAAATGGATCATCTTTATTCCTTATACTGTAAGGATACCAACTATTTATTTTGGTGCATGTCCCGACACCCACACCCAAATTTTTGTTAGTTTTTATCGGTAAATACTCTACAGGGTGCAATAATTAATAGATTTTGTTCAAATAACAGAGTGATACTTATTTATATTGTTCCATATCCAATCCCCAGGGGCAGAGCCACGCCCAATTTTTGTATTTATCTTTTACAGGCTGCAATTTTTAATGGATCATCTTGAAACTTTGCATATTTATTACTTATACCGTAAAGACAGCAACTATGTATTTTGGTGCGTGCCCCGCCCGACCCTCCTGGGCAGTGTCACACTCACTTTTTTGTTAATATTTTCTCTGTAAATTGGCAAAACAAACCCAACGCCTAGCCTTTTCTGCCTCTTGTCATATTACAGCCATTTTATTCATTCTTTTCATTTTAAAAAGTACCATATCAATCAAAGTAGGAATGTGGACGTATATTGAAGCGATAGCGATGCTCTTGTTAATGAACGTTGTTTGTCATGTATCTGCCATGATCGGTCCTTTTATTCCTTATAAATTTTCATTGCTGATTAGAGAACGTTTGCGTATGTTTATCGTACAAAGCAGGACATACTTGTAGCCTATATGCAACTATTCTTGAATAGCCTGCAAGTTCCACAGTTGCTTGTTTATTGGGGTCTTTTTACATGAAAAGCTCGAGCTGACAGTGGAAATTTTGTTCTGTAAACAATATGTTATTAAAAGTTTGGATTGAGGAATAGCCTCTACCTATGTTGATCCCTATGGCAGTGGCATTACCATACTGATTACAAAAATAGCATTTAATACTTTTAAACTCACGGGAATATCAAGTTTATTGTGATGAATAAAAAGTAAATATTTACAATAAATGTTGGAACACAAACCGGCGATGTTCTAGTTGGAAAGTAACACCCATTCATTATTATACTTTTCACGACTATTTTTTAGTTACAATATAAGTAGTCTCATTAACATTGATACAAAACAAAATTCTGTGTATATTCTAGAGAATATTTAGCAAAAATATCCTGTTTAAAATGTAACCCATCATTGGGATTACTACAAAGCACAATCCTAGATAAGACTGAACAATTTGTATCTTGCTAAAACAGCAATAGCGATAAGGTACAAACAAGTTGTATATTTGCAGTAAGTACTGGTGTTCCTGTAAAATGGAAAGTTCTACTCTCATAAAACCACAGTCTAAATTTTGCACTACATGTTAATCGATCCTATTTTCTACCACAACCGCGCTCTGCTAACAGATTCAGATGTACATTTGGGTTTTTAAATCTCTACATTTCATCAGAAAACGCATCCAGGTATGTCAACACAGGCAATTTCTCGGCCCACACATTCAGATGTTCTGATGAGTACCAAATATAAAATCAAAACAAAACGTTTATTTTGTGATTTTAAGATAATCGAATGTGGCTATAACAATGAAACACTTCCGGGGTCCCTTAACTGTGAAAGTTGGCAAAAGTTATCCTTGTGATGAACTTTATCTACGTGATAACGGGCTGATTGGTGATGGAATTTATCTCGTATATAAACACTAATTGTTATTATTACACACAATAAAACAAAACCGGCAATTACCATAAAAAATACGTTCACTGGCTTCTTGATAAAACTGATATCATTGGCTGTGATTTCAGACATCTGTGTATTATATGTGACATCTGTGAAAGAGAGAATTTTAATAAAGTAAGGTAGTTTCTTGTCAAACAAATACACACAAAGGGACAACATTTCAGTCTAAAATGCAAATATATAAACTTTCTTCCAACCATAATTAATATAAGGTAGTCTTACCATAATGGTCTAACCATTTGTCATTTTCGACAAAAAAAAAAAATAAAAAAAAATAATAAAACCAATAGCGTGCTTCGAACTTTCATTAGCTTTTTGGGGCTTTATTAATTTCTGAGCCTTTATGGCAATTCTTCGGTCTTAAACAATATCCATAGCTCTAACAAGATTCAATGTCCTGCCATTTTATTTTTTGACAAAGGCGGGATCAAAGCTAGCGATCTTTGATCTCACTTTTCTTTGTCAAAAAATAGAAAATACGCCTTTCGGTTAAAACCACGGAATTATTTCATAACCACTCGTATTTCTGTGGTAAAAAGTACAATGATGCTAGAGAACAGGCAAGTACAAAATTGTTTGCTAAACTGAGTCTACTGAGTTGGTAATGGAGTAAACTAAAGAGAAAGGGGGATTGTATATCTTGTTTCCTTCCTAGTTGTTGAATAGTAATTATTGACTGTTTATATTTGCCCCTGAATTTTATTTTCTGGCTTATAAATATGAAAGTAGTAGACTTTAGGCATAATACTTAGCATCGTCTTAATGTTATTTTCTTAAAAGAGATTCCGTTTTATAAATACGCTAAACTGTATTTTAACTTTTACTTACTCCACTCAGGTGCAATTTGTGAGGAAGACGTCTCACCATCAGTAAATGTCACAGAACATATGTATACACTATTTAAATCATCGTCCGTTGTATTAACTATCATAACAGTAATCGTTGCAGCTGATCCATTCGAATAGGTAGTATTTGGTGTTATTTGAAATAACAACTTATGTGTATCTTTTATCATTAATTCAAATTTATGTCGATACCAATAACCCAGCTCCTCAATCTGAAACAAAATGTTTAATTCTACATGAAGAATACTTATTTTGAAAATAAAGAATAAAACAACCCAAAGGGAGGTAATAAACTAGAATCATATACCTTTTCGTCGTAATAATTTTTACGTTTGATAGAAATGGTGGCTGCTGTAAAACGATACTGATACGCCCAGATGAACTTTACAGAATCCCCAATATCCGTTATAAACACACTGTCTACTGGAATTAATTTTGGTCCTGTAAAAAAAAAATAATATATAAAATGTGACCCTTTTAGTAAGTCACTAGCTCACTAATCTTGAGCCAAATGCTCCCATGAAAAATCTCGGGCGAAGTCACTATAGATAGCATTTGTAATATCTAGCTTGTAAATTATTCCCTATAAAATCACCAACTAAACATGAGGTTTCTGGATTCCCTTGTATGTGGTAAAGGAATGGGACGCCTAGCAAGGAGCAGTTTATAGTCGTTCGCATCGGATCAGAGATAAAGAAACCCACACCTGATCCCGTGTATATGTTGATGTGCCCGTAAATGTCTCCTGACAGCCGGATAAATAGGCGGAAACACCGGGTAAATTATGACACACATTATGTCGGTTGGTGCAGAAAGAAGGACGTTAAACCCCATTTCATTTCTATAACCGTATAATATAATTTATTTATAAATGGATACACAGGTTTCATGTTGAGAAAATAGATATTGAACTAGTCAAACACGTTACTTACGCTCAGTTATCAATTGAATTTGTGAAATGCTGCTGAAAGTATCTCCAATGAAAACACGACAGTAGTAAAGGCTGTTAATGTCTGCAGTGATTGGTTTTGAAACACCTAGAATTATTCTTTCCTCCTCATTTTTATCGTCAATAACTTTATTGAGATCAAATTCTGTTGAGTTAATATATGTTTCAAATCCGTTCATTCTGCTCCACATTCCCACCTTTTCATACTAAAAAGAAACAAATATTTTAATGGTTATTTGATTTAATTATTAGTCAAGCATTATGGACGTTTCCAGATTAAACTTTCAAACCATCCGCAATAAAACGAATAGGCATCGATTATCGGTCCAAAATTATTTTAAGGACCATAACAAAAAATAAGTTATGGTCAGTATTTCTACTGATATAACACCGCTATATTTAATTTTTTGTAATATTCTACTTTTATGCACTAAATTGAAGCTAAGTGTCATTTAATGTTACGTTTATTTATTTCATTTCTCTAAAGAACAATACTTAGACCATATCTTACCTTTGACGTAACATTGCTATATCGGGTAAAGATAATTTTGTCGGCAAGTCTTTTACTATGGTATTCCCAAACTAGGTTCACACTCTTCCTCGGAGTAGTTATCAATGGATCTGTATGCGTTAACCAATAAAACTCATTACCTATACACCCAGAAATAAAATGTATCCAAGTAATTAGTAGAGTATTATTTTTAAAAATCGATTTCAATACCACACCACCTGGGACATTCCTGTAAATTAGTATTGATGTAATACTTCCGCTTTAGATACTCATAAATTTCCTTTTTAAGTTAAATTAATTTAGTGATGGGTTCCTAGAATATTTGATGACATTAATTGCCTGGAGCTGTTTCAGAAGTTTAATAGATTATTATCAACCATTATGAAGTGTTAATTTTTTAAATACTGATATTACACCTTGTTGAGAAAAGCGACAATAAATTTATAAATCAACAACTTACTTTCCCGAAGAGTAACGGGTTCGTCATACACAATGCAGTCCCCATTAAACTGAACTCCAATTTTATAGACATAGTTTATATCTTCAGGTTCTATATCCAGTATTCTGAGTTCTACTCTCCCTATTTTACCATCTGGGCCTGATACAAGTTCGGCCAACATTCTATTATTTCCACTTTGTTCTTTTAGGAACCCATTAGACCACCGTGCCAACTGTTCATTCTGAAATAACAGATAACGACATGGTTTCGCCTTGTCAATGGTGCAGAACGAGAGGCCTGACAAGGACAGCTGTCTAGTTGTTCGGATGTCACAAAAAACCGAGGTCTCGTGTACAAATTGGCGTGCACGTAAAAAACCCTTGGCAGTTTGAATTCGACATAAGAGTAGGCCGTAGCGCCGCAGTCAGGGCAAAATTTCTCCATAGCACACTGTATGGCGTATGTCCGTCTTCATTAGCCCAGTCGAAACAGAACAGTAGAACGTTAAACCCCATTTCATTTCATTTCGTTACAGATAAAGTAACTACAAAGAGAGCCATTGATAGAGTATTTTTGAAACATATCAGTATATATTTCAACCGTATTATAATCCGAGATCGACCAGGATTTTACATTTCTTGAATATTAAATGTTAAGAAATGACCAGGTTCAACATACAATAATAATATTAGCTATGCAAACTCCCAAAAGATATATGTTTATAATTCACTCACTCTGGTTTTCCGACTAGCTGAAAATACTCTGTACAGTATGATATCGAACTCTGTAGAAGAAGTTTCATATTTCCATATGATATTTACAATATCGCCTACTCGAATTTCTATTTGATTTAAAGCATTTTTCCACTTAAAATCTACAAACAGGAAAAGTAAAATATGGTTACTTTAATAATATATGGATGATAATAAACATATGCCCACACGAGGTTATTATGCCGCATATAAATATTTTGTGAAGTTGTTATGTCACAGATAAAACCCGAAACGGGATGGGTATCCCACATTTTAAACACTATCTTAGAATGCAACATTTAAACATTATCTGAGAATGCAAACTTTGAAACACAATCTTAGAATGCAACATTTAAAACAATATCTTAGAATGCCATCCATGTTTAAACCATTATCATAGAATGCGAATTAGAACGACCTAAAACATACACATTAATATTCTTTTGAATGTACGAGGTTGTAATGCCACAAAAAAGTCCTGTAGTATTCCCCATAATGTCACTTATAAATTGCATTTAAAACGTCTGTTTAAACATACATTGTGCAATAACTAAATCTGCCTATTTCAGGTCTTTCTTTGGGCCTGAAATGTTATATAAACTATTAATTCGATATTTATTAACAAAACAAGACCATAATCAACTCTCGATGGCATCGGATACTCGAGATTTTAACTAGATTAGAACGGTTCGCCGTTTGAAAATCTAATTTAACAATGGGAAAGAGAGGCTAAGTCTCGAATATACCAGTGTCCTGGTTACCACTATGCACACACGTCTTGTCAAAACTACAAACAGTGATAACTTGGATCAGAATGAAGTAATTTGAATGAAATTTTCAATATTTTCATTTTACATTATCTATTATTTAGCTATTATAGCAAGAATGGCCAACTTTTTATCTAAATTTTGCATAATGTATCTTTAAAGTTATTTCTATAACAAAGACAGGTTTATTTCTAATTTACTTAATGATTATCACTTACCCGCCACAACTAGTCGTATCCTATTATATCTTGTATTTTCTATTAGAACATCATAAAAACCAGAATCATTCATAGTTACATTTGTTATTATTAAAGTCACGTTTACGACTCTTTCCTTTGCACCAGTTGAGATGTTGTTTAAATGTAGCTCATATCTGCCTTCAGATTTATCCTGTATTGAATCTTCTATTCGATAATACAATACCTGTACCTAAATGAGATGTAAAAAAATGGATGAATAACGTTCTACAATGTTTTGTAGATGGAACTTTTGATTTTAACGGTATTTACTCATAAACATAGTGTCGATGAACTTATCTTCGATTCAATTATCGTTGGAACAAGAATATCCACTCCTCCAGGAATATGTAGTGTAATAGAATACCACATTTTGTAAGTTTTCTAAGCCTTCGGTTCTTTTCCAATTTATCATGTATATAGGATGATGTGGTGTGTTTATTGAAATGCACAAAGAACCTACCAAAATTTCTTCTGAACGTTCGAAAAATTAACACATCAAATCCCCCATGTTCCTTTATTGGGATCAGGGGCATATATCTCAATTAAACCTTACCCCATCTTTTGTAATGTTTATGGTATTGCCAATATTGCTTGAATTTATCTGCCACAGCAATTCAGTATGGCACCCTATTACAGATCTTGTAACTGTATAATTTGGCGTCAACACCACAACTTGAATCCACAAACCTGTGAAGTAAATGATTATACATTGAAAACAATAACACACCTAACAGAACATCATATATAACTTTTGTTATAAATATGTGACTCACTAACGTATTTTTTTTTAGCGAGTATTATGTGTATGTGTGATGGGTGACCAGGTTAATGCCTACGCTGTAGATAGTTCCTTGTGGATTTTCACCCCATCACTCAACGAAAAACAGACCTTGCGCTAGAATTTTAAATCATAATGAAATAGTGCAATATTCGAGGAAAATACAATGAAATACTTCACATAAAAAGCGGAGCAAAACAAGTTAGCTTAAGAGAACATCGCACCCAAACCTAGAAGTGGTAACATGTTTTAAAAAGAGTAAAATCACACAGTCTATGTGCGCCATGTCACTATTTATATAATAGAACGTGACACCCCACAACCACCCACCTCCAACAGCCGTTAAATTTTAATAATATTATTATAAGTTAATGCCCCATTGACAATGTTTAGAAGATGCTAAATTCCATTTTCCATCTTTTGAATAATACACTTTTGAAAACGTATCAAAGACAGACGACTTACCTGAAATCAAACATACATTGAGAAACCAATTCATCTCTGCCTATTATCTTGAATAGATGTTACCTTGAGTTTCATTCAGTGGAGGAACAGGACATCCATAAAACATTCGATTAGTTGTTGAACCTGTTAAGAGTCAGGCAATATTAAATATTAATATGTATATTAAGTCCAGAATATGCCAGAATAAAAAATAATTAAGAACATACCAGAAAAATAAGAATATACAAAATAAAAAAAATGTTTTTTTTTAAGGTGTTTTTTATATTAGAAAACTCGTCAGAAAACTGTGCTAAACAATATGGCCAAATTATTGTCTGAAATGGGGAAAACAAAGCGATGCTTTACATATCAGGTTAAATTTATCCCTTTTCTGGCAGAACAAGAAATGCTGTAATAATATTGTAATGGTCAAAAATATTATTATGAACCTAAAATCCAATGAACCCAGTCAGTCAAACAGTATGTAAGTTATATCACAAAGAAGCTAATTTCATGCTTGATAATTAAACACATTGGTTATTTTGTCGATCTATTAATTTATACTGGTGTCAAATTTATTGTTATTTTATGAGTACAATATTATATGATTAATCTTATTCGTTAATGGTGTTATATTTAATATTTTTAATCATTGGTTTATATGATTTGATGGAATCAATACGAATATATTAAGGCTGTCGTTTATGAGCGAGCAGCTGCCATTTTGGATTTCATGTGCCATTTTTAATAAATCAAAATTTAACCATGGATAAAAAACAATTAACGACTTGGTGATCTGCAATTACTTTTAGAGAAGAATTACAACATTTCAAGGGCTGGTTATTTCGCCGTTTGCCCCATTTTCGACATTACTCCTGGTTCAAAACGGTGTAATTATTGAGAGACCCCCCGCTACCAAGCCCATTTCGTTCAACATATTTTGTCTGATACAGAAAACACCCTCAAAAGACGTTGTGTTAAAAATGGTCACACATTCCTAGTATTGTCCTCTACTAAAATTATTTACATCCATCAATTCTAACTCAAGTTATAGTCATTCAAATTTTGGATTAGTTTCTCGAGCAAAAATGTGATACTAATTTTGCTATCCTTTTCTTACAAACCAACCCATTCTTCATAAAGACTGTTTTGAATACTCGGATATGCGTAATCACATAATAGCAAGTCTTTACATTCAAACAGTACATTACTTTGGTCAGATGTTTTAAAGGTTGCTGACATTTAGACAGGAACCTGCTGTTCGAGCAAAACTCCACCCCCGTTAAGAAATAACGGGGAATTAGCATATACTAGCCTCAAAATGACTAAAGTAGTATTTTGGGTGTTAAATTCCTATACCATTCAAAACGGGGTTTAACATACTTTTTGGCACGAACCGAATGATGCGAGAGAGAAAAGGGGTTTGACGTTTACTCAACACAAAGTAGGTCATTTCCATACTACAGGGATGACGAAGACGACGGTGGCTTTTATGGCGTAGGTGGCACGGTGGCTCAGTGAGTAAGATGTTGGCTCGCTAATCTGGAGGTCCCGTGTTGACCCATGCTTTGTTCGAAAAAGTTCATCGGAATTTTCCGATGTGTCAGGACAGAGGGCATGGGAAGCGACAACGTATAGTCGTTCGTAGGTCCCGTGTACACATTGGCGTGCACGTAAAACTCGATATAAGTGTAGGCCGTAGCGCCGCTGTCCGGATAAAAAATTTTCCGCCCATCTTCATTAGCCCAGATGGAGCACAACAGTAGGATGTTAAACACCATTTCCTTTCATTTCGTTTACAGAAAATCCTTACCGTGTCATTAGAATAGAATCCTTATTGTTTAGATAATTATAACTTCCTCAACAGCGAACAACATACTTCCCAAGTCAAGAAATTAAAATTATTTTCCGGGCTGCATTGTACAATAACATTGGCAATACAGAGTGAACACATTTATAATATTCTAAGCCATTCTATATTATAATGTAAAACCAGTCATGTTTGTTCACGTTCATGATATATCGGTATTTGGTGTATACATTACGACTGGGGCACTCAGTCAAGCATTTCTATACCTATTGTACTACATTTCTATCAAAATAATAATTCGACATTGAATACGACAAAAAATAAGAATACTATAGTATTATATAAATTACTATAGGGTGTGTGTCAGGGCCAACACAGAATAGACCATATCAATGTAAATTATATGTAAAGTTTAACAACATAAAAATAGAACCTTTATAATTAGATAATAAATTCAAACATAAGACGTAAATAAAGCGATGTTTACGAAGGAAATTGGAATTTATTCTCTATGAATGGATAAACTTTGTCAATCATTTCAAATTTTATTTCTATAACTGCAATTCTCCGACGGTTCCTTATTTCCACCCCCACCCACCACTTGACAGTAGGTGTATTTGTAATTTGTTTTTGACTTTACATTGTACACGTATTTGCACTAGTAATGTGGGCCTCCCTGTCCCATTTCTTTATGTTTTGTTCAGGTTTTATTCGATAGCAAACACAATAGTCATTTTTCTTAATATTTGTTTAGATAAATGTATTTGAATAAAAATAATTTTTGAAAAACAATTAATCATGATGGTAAAATTCAAATTAAACATGTTCTATAAAGCGTATTAGACATACTGCCTCATGCCCATAAATTTAAAGCTAAGCGTATCTAACTGTTTAACACAAAGCATTTTATATTTTAAAACATAATATACGTATGTTATTAAAAAAATAAACAAGAACGAGCTTCTAAAGGACGGATAACCTGTCTATTTTTTTTTAGGATGGGACGAAAAACACAGGTTCCGTGTACACATTGGCGTGCACGTAAATAAACCATTGACAGTTGGAATTCAATGTAAGAGTAGGCATTATACTGCATGGCGTATGCTCGTCATCATTAGTCAGTGTAGTACGTTAAACCCTATTTCGTTTCATTTCTAAAACACAAACACAATCGGCTTACATTCTCGAAGGTTAACGTCTTATCATGAATTTGATAAGCTTGTTGGTGCTAGTTAAGCATGAGAAATCATCAGTATGCCACTACATGTTATCGTTGCATAATGGCAGTGAAGTGGTAAGAACTTTTATTGATGTTTTCCAATAATAAGAACACAAATAACCCGAGTCAATTTAATAACTATATTTTATATCAACATTAAGAAAGATAGCATAAAATGCAAATCAGCCCTGCTAAGACCGGAAACATTTTTTTAAAGTACGATTTTAAACATACCGTTTTCCAAACCTTTTCTTCAAATTTGTCCACTCATGACAGCTGTTATGGTTTTGAAAGGCTGATCCTCGATAATAAAGTAGGCTACTTTAAATTAAGTCTTACACTGCTACTGAATTTGAAATATATCGGGTGGCCCAGAAGACGAGTACACTATTAAAATCAAATAATTCAAAAAGTATTATAACTATACATATCGTTAACATTTTACATGTCATACAGTATGGATGTCACAATTGTTTAACATAGTACGAATGTAAAATTTCCTATTTCTTCTAAGGTTATTTCTGCCAATTTGTATCCTTCAGTTCATTTTCCGTAAATGGTTTCGTGCGTCCTATCCAAACCTTTCTGAGAGACTCAGACTTAGGTTATTATGGGACTGCAAATTTTGCTTAAATTGTAGCCTTCAGTTCATTTTACGTAAATGGTTTCGTGCGTCCTACACAAACCTTTATTAGAGACTCGGACTTAGATTATTATTGGACTGCGGCGGCCTCAGATCCTATTTCGTTTCTTTTTTTATTGTTCAAAATTTCTTTTTACTGGTCTTCACAACACTATGATATAAGAGTTGATATATAACCCGCGTTCTGGTTGATGTGAGCAATTAGCCAATGAAATAATTTGTTACAGCGAGTTCTTGGTGTGTGGTGCACGGAACTGTGGGTAAACCACTAAAAACGTCAACGCTGATTGATTAATCAATGTCTGACGTCATATGGTCAAAAGCCACTCGTATAACTCCTGGCGCGACCTTCAACTACAACCGGTCAGATATTCATGTAGTGTAGGCCATCGATTTTAATCAGATTGTATAAAGTCTGGGTGGATTTTGGAATATGGAGATTAAATTCGGAGCCACCATCACATTTATAAGTAATTATTTCATAATTCATAATTTCATATTTCTTTCTCGAAAAATCTGTGGTTTTTTTTTAAAGATACTTCTTAGCTATTCTGCTTGTATGGTTTGCAGTCCAATCCTACTGAACACGTAGTAATCCGTGGCAGTCGGGTATAAATCTGTCGAGGAGGCTACTCCAGTTTTAGAAAAATATCAACGGCCATCGCAGATCCAGGACATGTGGGATGAATCCGATAAATAATGCCATCTGGTAGTCTAGCTCTCAGAAAAGGTTTATGAAGGACTCACGAAACCATTTACGGAAAGTGAACTGAAGGGTACAATACAAGCAAAATAGGAGATTAGCTTTCTTGGTGAAAAATGCAAATCGGGGTATAATTTGACCATTTGTTTATGTAAACTGGGATGAGTGTGAAGTGATTTCTCAGTCCGGCGAACTTGATTTGGCATCTATATTGTACCATATGTATACAGGTACAACACCTTTCTGGGCCACCCGGTATCTGGTTAAATCGTCATTAAGAAATTATCTATTCAAGATTGTATTGTTTGGTATATCTTCATAATTAAAATACGACCCCCAATGTTCAGCCCTTGACTCTCTATTTTAAACAGGACATACCGATGTTAAATGGTTACCTAATAAATACGGTTGCCCATTGTGTTGTCGCTCATATTTACTATTACCATATTTTCGACATCCGTGGAAGCAGATGCTGGTGTTGAAATATATAGACATTGGACTGGAGGCTTTAATGGAAAGTTTTGTGTACCAATTGACAATGAACTGAAGTCTTGGAAAGCCCATTTAAAATTTGATCAACCCATAGATAGTATTGAGGTATGATACTTTATAAAGCCTACCTTTGGCTCATTCCCCTGAAAGGAACTGAAAAATATCTCTTTTAATCATATTGATATACCAATTTGTCTTTTTTATACTTTTTAAAAATATAATATAGAAAACGCAAAGATTAATATTAAATACGCTAAGATAAATATTACATGTATACGTAAAGATTAATATTAAATAAAAAAGAATAATTATTATTAAATACACAAAGAATAATTATTATTAAATACCAAAGATTAATATTAAATACGCAAAGATTAAAATTAAATACGTATTCATAACCTTATAGTATGTGGATTTCGCTTTTTCATCGTAGTATTTCTCTCAATATCTAAACTATCTTCAATTTTATATAAAGCCCCGGCTTTACTCATATCATTTATTCAATACAATTACTAACAAAGGTCACCTAAAAACATTGAAATGTTTATTGTGTAAAATTAACCCTTTGTTTCCAGATTTGGTTGGCTACGGCAGAAAAGGTAGGAAATGGCTAAGAATATATATTAACAAATAAAGATTGGAATGGAGAAGAACATGTTGGTGACAAATTGTGTCTTGATTTCATGGGACACACTAAAGAAGATATTGTACCTTCAGCTGTTGTATATATAGAAGAGTTAGAAACACCGGGAGTAACTAATGTCCATACGTTTCCACCCCACACAACCCCAATTATTCCACATAAAGGTTAGTTACATTGTTATACATGTACTCTACTTCAAAACTTGGTACATAGATCCAATTTTGAATTTTCATTTTGATTAATTTCATTGCAGTAATTCATTCTGCTATGGAATATGTTAAAGGAGATGGTGCATCTATTTCTATCAAAACGTGGATAGCGACAACAAAGACTCGAATCAACTTATTTTCAAATGTCCAAGGACTGCCCTAAATTGAATAATGCATCGGTGACGTCATCGAGTCTATCTTAATTTTTAATATGGTTTCCACAGGGTGAAATTGGTAATGTTTCTAGTACGGTATGTCAATCAATTGTATGTATTGTGTGCGTCGTAAATAATTGGCAACTGCTAGCGGCAGGCCTAGTGCTAATCCCGCCAGTAAGGTGAAAAACGCAATCTTTAATCATTGAGATAAGCCATAAAAATCAGACTTAAAGGAGCGAAGTCTCCAACTCAATATTTTCCATAATATTCGAAATTAAAAACACGAATTAGGCGTCAATACTGATCAATTTCAATCAATGAGTTAGCCCATAAAAATCAGACTTAAAGGAACAAAATCTCTAACTCAACACTGAATAATTTAAATATGCATGTAAGAGCAAAATCTGCCAAACTATTATTTAGACATTTATTCACATAAAGCCCATAATGAACCCTCTAGACTATCGGATGGCTGAGATTTAAATGAGATTTAAGTCTGATTTTTATGGCATATCTCAATGATTACATATTTACACAGGATAGCCACGCAAAACGTGGAATACGCCAACTGCAGCTTATCCGAAAGGAAAACTTGAATGTTGAACACTTTTGATAAGCATAGGATCCTTGACGAAATCTAATCCCTAGAGATCATCCTCTTATGACCTCATTGCAGTTAAAAACTGCAGCCTTCATCGCGTTCAAAGGTGGGATAACTAAGGAACGGAAGGCTATGGAATATGATTATCGATACGCATCCATGACTCCAATGCTTCAAGCCAAAATTGAAAAGGATCCATTAAAAACTAAAGCCTTTATCTCGTTCACAAGGTTTTTCGCAAAGAGGGGGCATGACCCCGGAACACAATGTCGTAGAACAATGAATATCGATGGGTATCGTCCTCTCATGGCCACAATGCGTCACACCAAATTTTTGGCAAAGGGGTGGGGCAGGGGGCTCTGGAATGGAGAGTCACAGAACGCTGAATATCGATAGAATTCGGCTTCTCATGACCACAATGCTTCTCACCAAATTAGAAAAGAATCCATCGAAATCTGAAGCCGCTATACGTTCACATGTTTTTCGGCAAAGGGGGCATAAATCTGCCGCGAGAAGTTGAGGGACGCTAAAATAATCTGTCAAAAACTGGGTATTACAACATTTTCGTACTTCGATTTTCTAGAAAAAAGACATTGCTTTTTTTAAAAATAAATATAAAAAAATGACCAATCCTAGGTTTTTGTGGTGTTTTATTCGGAAGTTCAATCTTGGGAATGTTTGCCAAACAAAAAATAAATAAATAGAACCATAAGTTTTTGTTACTGTGTTCTACAATGTACTCTTTAAACATAAAATTTTTCCCAAGGCAAACTGTCTTATAAATTATCTTGAATGTAGCACAGCTTGATCGCGTGGGTTGTATGTCCTTGTCACCGAGTATAAAATTGTTATACCGCCTGTGAGAGAAGAGGTCGCCATTATGTTGATTACTGGCAGAACAATGGAACCTGAAAGGTAAGGACTTCCCCATTTCAGTAAATAATGTACCGATAAAAGAAAGTGTATGTTACATAAAAACGTTACATGCAAAATAATATAAATGTTAGTCATCCATGAAAACTCCTCAAAGGAGAATAATAATTTATTTTTTAAGTTATCATTTCTACAATCTTTTTCTTTATACAGTCTAACAAATCACCATATTCTGGCATGCTATTTTTTTATGACTTGTTCAAGGTTTTCGATGTTCATCATACTAATCGCTGTCACAGTACTGAGCTCACTAGTGAGCGGTGATACTAACATTGAAATAATTAGGCACTGGGCTGGTGGATTTAATGGAAAGTTTTGTGTTCCAATCAGCAAGGAACTAAAATCATGGAAAGCTCACTTAAAATTTGATCAACCCATAGATAGTGTTGAGGTATGATGCTTTTAGATATTTACACGTCCATATTGTGGCGGAATTCTAAATATAGGTTAACGAGAGCATCCATTTCCATATTCATAATGTGGGTATGAATAAATGTTCATTGATTAAACCCATATACCCAAGCACAAATTTCTGTGGTTTTTTTATTAATGGACCTCGAATTTAGTAGTCCTTGTGGATAGATGGGGTACCTTATTTCATTCTATATCACAGGTGTGGTTGGCAGAATTGACGAAAGTTGGTGATGGTAAAGAATATATCCTGACTAATAAAGCTTGGAATGGAGAAGAACATGTTGGTGACAAATTGTGCCTTGAGTTCATGGGGCATATCAAAGAAGATATTGTACCTTTGGGTATTGTTTATTTAGAAGAATTAGAACCATCTGGATCAACAAATGCACACACTGTACCCCCACTTACGACCACGCCAGTTCCACATACAGGTTGGTTATTTTCCCAACTTCATCTGCTATGAATAGTAAAGGACTATAGTAACGAAATACCCTAGGAGAAATTAACTGCAGATATCGGTACCCCACGCGACATTAAATGTTATCGCTGTCTGTGAAAACAAGACAGGTGTTCAATCCAAGAAACACAATTACTAAATTCATATTAAATTATGTTTATTATCATTTTATATTGTTATATTTCCACAATGATTGGCTGATGGCCTAATGTTTATGTTTAGAATTTAATGTCTACATTTTCATTAAGCCACAGCTCTTGATAATCACTAATGCATCATTTTTTCTAATGAGATTCAGAGCAACCAAATAATATATCGCATGACTGGTTTAATATTCCAGGTGGTGGTTCACCAACTTTTCACTATGCCGAGGCTTTGTCCAACTCAATCTTGTTTTATGATGCCCAAAGATCTGGGAAACTCCCCGCCAACAATCCTATTAAATGGAGAGGCGATTCTGCTTTAAATGACGGATCTGATGTAGGTCTAGATCTCAGTGGAGGGTGGTATGATGGTATGTAAAAATAACTAGTATACTTTTTGTGTAATTGTAGAACAATACAAAAATATAATAGGTATTACAACGGAACTATGTTTAAAAAACATATGAAATATTATACTTTGGAGGACATATTATACTTTCAACGACATGGGTGAAAGGATGGATTTTTTAAATCAATATTTTATTCAGAAATCGAAAGGGATTGGGGAACAGACATGGCATATATGACCGCTCTCTTAAGACATAACTTATTGTGTTCACCACTTTCTGTTAATGATATTTGGTGGTTTGGGAGAAAATCATTACGCATATGCGAAATTTATAGAGTAGAAAGATCCAACTTTACGTTCTAACTTTAGAATGATTAAATACAGAAAAGTTAATGGGTCTCGAATTAAAATTATGATCTTCATTGTAGCTGGTGATCACGTTAAATTCGGATTACCCTTGGCGTCAACAACAACAGTGCTTCTATGGGGCTACCTTCAATGGCCAGATGCATACAAGTCAGCAGGGTTAACAGATAAATTTTTCGACATGATTAAATGGCCCCTTGATTACTACTTAAAGATTTGGAGACCTGCCCAAAAGGAGCTCTATGTACAGGTATTGTTGTTTGTTATTTGTACAGGTATTGTATTTTCAAACTATTAAAAGAGGCATATAGCTCTGTAGAACTTACGGACGATATACAAATTATTGGTGGGCCCCTACGCAAGCACCGCGGGTTTCTACGATCTGCATATTGGACACACGCTTGCAAATCCCTTTGCAAGTTTTCAAATTATTGCGCCATGCGTGGAATACAAATGGGATGTGTTTCAAAATGTGGGCCAGGAAACTGTACCAAGGGATATCCTTTCACCAACTCTTTGGGGTCTTTTGGGTCACACTGTCGTCTCATCCTAATTATTGGACATACAGTCCAGGGTATATCAACTGTCACGTTATTCCACTTTCGTCTAATAAGGCAATAATCTCCCAAAAATTACAGATCGGAGATGGCCAAGAAGATCACCATTTCTGGGGAAGAGCAGAGGATATGACCATGAAGAGACCCGCATATAAAGTTACAACCAGTAAACCGGGAAGTGACGTAGCTGGGGAAACAGCGGCATCGTTAGCAGCGGGATCTATAGCTTTTAAATCTAGGGGTATGGGCGTTTCAAGTTATTTAAATCATAATACGAACTCTTGATTCCAATAGCAGCAGCGTTAAAATCTAGTCACTCTTCTTAATGTACTCACAAATTGGAAAGGGTAATTGCCATATCAGTTTGGTAAATTTTATTTCCAGAAGTAATTAAATTTTAGTTAACTACAACATTCATTAGAAAATTACCGAATATCAAAGTTGCATCTTTCCAATCCAGACCCTGCTTACTCTCAGAAGTTGCTTAGCGCAGCAAAAAGTCTGTATGCATTTGGCAAGGCATACCCAGGTATATACAGTGCCAGTGTAACGGCAGCAGCTGGTTTCTATGTGTAAGTAGGTAAAATTTTACTCATATCCACACTATTATTTTATTATGTATGGAGTACTGTATGGATTAGATAGCATTTTTAAAGTAAACATTTTGAACACTTGTTTAAATCACATGATAATTCATAATAATGGACCCCATATCTAACATTGTGTTTGTTATGACTATTCGTTCCGTTAGACAAGGCTGAGACTAATAAATTTCGTTTTTCGTAATTTCTCAGATCCAGTGGATATAAGGATGAAATGTGTGTTGGTGCTGTGTGGTTGTATAAAGCTACTCAAGACAAAGCGTATTTAACAGATGCTTGGGGTTATAACACGAATTCCGGAGCCCCAGGTTTCTCTTGGGATTCAAAGACAATAGAATGTCAGGTGTGTACGAATTCCTATTATTTACACGTCTCAAATGTAAACAAGTTCTATCTGGGTCATTCATAAATGTATCAATTTAACCAGTTTCAGTTAACAAGGCTTGAGAGGCAGTAACAATGACAAGTGATTTCTCAATTTGGAAATTGGCTGTGACTTTAGTTACTGTTTTGTATTGGTAGTATCCTTGTTGTTTTACGCATGTAATATATATTATTGTCCCAATTTTATCGTGTCTCGTACATTGATCGAAATAACATCGAACAAAAAAACGTGCGAAGCATTTTCGACGTTTTGGCCTCACTCCACTCTAATCAAATACATGCATGCACCTAAATGAGCAGAAATATATGGTTAAATTCTCACATATTTCACCAGACCTTACGCCACAATTGATGTCTCCTACATTGATTGAAATAACGGCCAACAAACAAACGCCCGAAGCAAAGCCGACGTTTTGGCCCCACTCTACTCTAATCAAATACACGCATGCACCAGACCTTACGCCCCCCCCCCCCCGCAAAAATGCCGCTGTTAATATATGTGTATTTAAAACTATTCAGTTACTGTGCTCATAGCGTGTATTGCACCGTATAGCGTAACATACCTCAGAGCCACCCATTTGGACAATGCCCCTTGAAGGGAAGATAGTGTAAATGTTCATTAAGAATAGAAATAAAATCAAAATCATTTGTACTGCAGATAATGTTATATGGCATCAAACCCTCACCCGTTATGCAAGACGTGGTTGAAGGATATTTTAGAGGTTGGTTACCAACAGGATCTATGACCTATACACCTTGTGGTTTTGCCTGGAAAGATCAATGGGGATCTACTAGATACAATGGTATGGACATGTTTCTGATTCATTCACCTAAATGAACTAAGAAAAACAATATGTGCCTAGTATTTCTCAAAATCTGGTCATAAAACTACAAATCGCCTGAAATATAATTGTACGATTTTCATTGAAGACCGAAATCGTTATAATACAACTCGTCAGAAATCAAGGAAAACAGTTGATAGGGTATACTTTTGTCAGATTAAAAGAATTTCATGGTTTGTATCGATTGATAATATAATTTTCAATACGGCAGTGTACACTGTTATACTGTATTTCATGTTTCAGCAAACACAGTTTTGGCAGCGCTTGTGGCTGCTGATATGGGACTCCAGACGTTAACTTACAGAAAATGGGGTATTGGTCAGATGGATTACATATTAGGACAAAATAGTAAATGCTTTAGTTATGCCATTGGCTTTGGTAAAAAATATCCACTGAGTCCCCACCACCGATCAGCGTATGTGTAATTTTGTCTTATATTAAAATATCAGAATAATTCAATTAATAACTGACAAACTAATAAAATGAATGCCAATATTGTAGAGCTTGATTTCAGTTGAATCCCGAATGTACCGGTAGAGAATTAGCTTGCCTTACCATGTAGATTGTATCTCATGCGAATTAATTTTACTGCTCATGAAATGTGTTGATTGGAGTTAATCCTAATTTTCATCAGTATTCCTTTGCATTAAATAGATCATGTCCAGATATTCCCGAGCCATGCAGCGCAGCAAATCTGAAAGCTAAAGGACCCAGTCCACATTTATTAGTTGGAGCACTTGTTGGAGGACCTGACGCCACAGATGCTTATACTGACAACAGAGAAGATTACGTCCATAATGAAGTGGCATGTGATTACAATGCTGGATTTCAATCTGCTTTAGCTGGTGAGTCCCATTTTATAATAAACATTTTTTTACTGGGAGGTAAATGGAGTATAATCGCCGCTCACTTTTTTCCCTTTTTCTCTTCTTATGGACAGTTCGTTTCTGACCGGAATCAGCCGATCATAACCGCAACTTGACGACGCTTGGTGAAAACCTTACTATTCTAAACATTTACATTTATAATTAATAATGCGAAATTAAATCAAACTATTTTTATGTGTATTTTTAGGTATTGTACATCTGATTAATACTAAGAATTATCCAGTTCCAGATCCATCAAAATGTCCATGTAAAGGATCCTAATCATGACGAAAAATATTAAATTGGAATAAAGAATTTTTATCGTCAGCATGTTATTGCATTGACTTTCAAATTCAACTAACTAACTTATGGTTATTAGTTAGATGATCACAAGACGAACGTTGTAATACTCTTTGCTTTGGTTACCAGGACACCTGTTTTAACCATAACTTCCCCATAATTTATTTTTTAGAACACGGGAAAGCGCAATGGTCTGGACAGCAACGGGAAAGCGCTATAGTCTGGACGACATCGTGTGCCATTATAGTAGATCGTAAATTATCATTTTCAGTAATGTGTTTTACTAAACGACCACGCATGACCAACTAAAAATTGGGAAATGTCTGTAATGGAAAAACGGAGAAATAACCATCACTTTACAAAGATCATAAATAATCATTTTCTCGTAGAACAATGAAATGTTACTACTCCCACCACCTTGTTGATTTTGATCCACATCTCACACAGAGGACAATCTTAACTATATTACTCAATGTCACGCCAAATCGTACAATCCAATAACATATTGAAAATATCACTAATAACGAGATTTATAAGTAAATTATTCTAATTATATAATATATATCAGAAGGAGAATGTCAAATTATATATCTGAAGGAGATTGTCAAAAAATGCTAAAAATCAACAGTGTTCATCAGCTCCGATCTCAATTCTTCACACCAAATTTGAAATCAAATTGGGGCCGCTCATGACCCCATTTCTTCCCACCAAAATTTAAAATAAACCATTAAAAACTGTAGCCACTATCGCGTTCACAAATCAACAGGATCCGTCCCCATCCGAAAGCTTATTACAAAATTTGGAGAGAAATGCTTAAAATCCATAGTGTTCGCCCTCTCATGACCACCAATACTTTATATCAAATTTTATCCAAATCCAAATCCAAATCCAAATATTATGACGTGGCCTCTATTGAGATCACAGGGTTTGCGATAAAGGGGGTGTAACTCCAAACGGAAGCTTGAGCAATGTTGAATATCGATCAGATTCGCCCCCTTGTGACCCCAATGTGTTACACAAAAAATCTGTTAGCCTCTATGTTTACCGAAAAGTACGTCAGGACAACTTTAGAAAAAACAGTCGGACAACGAAGAAAAATCGACAGAGCTTGTCCTCGTAATACGTCATACTAAAGTTGAAAAACGATAGCCACGCAATAACGCCCACACGGCAGCTTTATCTGAAGTATAGCTTATCCGAAAGGAAGACTTGAATGTAGAGCAAATTTGATAAGGATCTATGATCCTTGAAGACATATAATCTCCAGAGTTCACCCTCTTACAATCCAACCGCTTATAACCAAATCTGTAAAAAAAAAATCCTGGCATGACCTATAGTCTCTATCGCGTTCACACGATTTTCTGCAACGTGGGATAACTTAGGAGTGACCACTAGAAAAATGAATTGCAATGTGGTTTAGCGTCCTACTCTTCTGCTCAATCTTGGCTTATGAAAACGGGCATACACTAGGCTATAAGGAAAATTTTATTTGGACAGCAGCGCTACGTCGTACTCTTATATCGAATTCTACCCTCCAAGGGATCTTTTACGTGCACGCTAATGTATACAGGGACATCGTTTTGTCACCCAACTGAACGTATATACGACGTACCTTGCCTGAACCTCTGACCTGCACCACTGACAAGAGGCAACCCCGCCGGAAAACTCCGGTGCGCTTTAGTGGCCAACACTATGCAAGGTCGAACACGGAACCTCAAGGTTAGCGAGCCAACGCCTTACTCACTATAGGCTATATGGCGATCACACGTTTTTTCGGAAAAGATGGCATAACTGCGGAATGGAAAGTCGCGGAACTCGATATCGATAGGGTTCATCCTCTCATGACCCAAATGCTTCACATCAAATTTTACACAACAATGTGTTCATAACTATAGCCTCTATTGTGTTCACAAGGGGAATGACTCCGGGACTGGTAGGGTTCTAGCCCTCGTGACCTCAATGCTTCCAACCAAATTTGAAAGAAATCCGTTCAAAAACTAAGGCCTTTATCGCGTCCACAGTGTTTTCGGAAAAGGGTGATATAAACCAATAGGGTCCATCCTCTCATGACCATATATCCGTCTTACCGAATTCGAAAAACATCCGTTAAAACTACAGCCTCTATCGTGTTCACAAGGTTGTCGGCAAAGGTTTGGGAAGGGATTACTCCGACACAGAAAGCCACGGTACACCGAATAGATAGGGGTTGTCCTCTCATGACCACAATGCTTCCAACCCAATTGTAAACTATCCGTCCAAAACTGTAGCCCCTGTCGCCTTCACAAGAGTTTCGGCAAAGGGGATAACTCCGGAACAGAAAGGAACAGTCCTCGCTGTGGAAAGAATACGTCAAAAACTTTAGCCTCTATCGAGTTCACAAGTTGACGGACAGACGGACAGGGTGACTACATAATACACCTACACTATAATGTGGACGTAAAAAAATCAATTCAAACCAGTTTTTGTTCTGGAAAGGGGATATAACTCAAAACGAAAGGTCCCGGAATGCTGAAAATCGATAGCGCTCGTCCTCTCATGACACCTAAACCTTCAATGATTTTTTTAATACTGTAGGAACTTCAGTTTGCATTACACGTCATCGTTGATATTTATTAGCCAATGGATATTCATATGGATATGTATCTATTATGTACATGACCGGATTTATAATTTCAATCTATCCATGTTAGTGTACCCTTTGTTCGACATACAGTTGAATTTCTATAATTTCAATTCATTCATATTAATGTACCTTTTGTTCGACATGCACTTGAATTTCTATGTTGAATGGACTAACCAAGTCCAGGTGACCTCTAACGCACGGATTATAAACCAGGCTGATATAATTATACATGGTGATGTTATCTTGGGCTTATAATCTTTTAGTTTTGTATAATTATCTTGACCTCACCAAATGGCACTGGCCATCTTAGAATAAGATATTTTTCAGGAGCGTTCGTGATCGCTTAACTGTGATAATTACACGTTTTCTAATTTTAACATCTCCAGTGTAACCATATAGGATTGTTATACGATGGACCAGCATCCATTGTATGGTGAATCTGCTAAACTTACATTAATTGTGCCGAGATTAAATCTCTACCTGTTTCAGAGAAATATATGATATATTTGTTCATAATACTGCCAGTATGTTATGTTTAAATGGCCCTGGCCTATAAGATAAAGGTAGAGCATATACTATTTAAAGAAATGTAATGCAATGAAAAGTGGTTTAATGTCCTACTTTCTTCACTAACTGGACTGATAATGGCGGAAATGCGCCATGAAGTGTGCTATGAGGGCAAGATTGCCCCTTCGAATTCCACGTGCCAAGGAAATTTTAATTTGAACAAATACGGTACATAACTGTGTGTAAATCATACAAGAGAAATTAGTGTATACATGCTAAATTGATAAATGACCCAGATGCGGGATTGAATAAACTGGACAGACCTGAAGTAGACTGTATACTTTTGTAAGGAAAATATTGTACCGATAACAGACAATATCGAGCGATTTCCATGGGAACTGACAGCAAGGTAGATAGGGACAACGGTTACAGGACATATATAAATATTCATTGTTATCTCTGTAAGGCAAACCTTTTTTTTCAATCTTAATATGGTTAACCTACTTAAATATGTATGTATAGATTTAAAAGATAATTAGTATTAGAAAAGATTTACTCGCTGTCTAAACCGTTGAGGAAATGACTTGGCTGTATTGCCTATCCACACTTGTGGTTCTGTCTACTAGCTTCGTGACAGGAATACGATATGAACCTAATTGGGCATCTATAGACTCTCGACCTATACCAGCGTGGTATGATGAGGGCAAATTAGGTATATTTATTCACTTTGGAGTTTTTTCTGTTCCAAGTGTTGGGTTCAACAGTGAATCAGAATGGTTTTGGAACTACTGGAAGAACTTGAAAGTCCCAGCATACATAGACTTTATGAACAAAAATTATAAACCAGATTTTACGTACGCTGATTTTGCCAAAGACTTTACTGCAGAATTTTTTGACGCTAATAAATGGGCGGACATCTTAAATTCATCTGGTGCTGAGTATGTATATTGAGTTTTTTTTTAAATTTCATAGCTTTAACAAAAATGCCAGGTTCACGTAAAAAGAGTGGAAGCCAAGGTGGCTAAGTGAGTAAGACGCCAGCCTGGAGGTCGCGGCTTCGATCCCGGTCTTTGGCCGAGAAGTTCATCAGGATTATCCGGCGTGGTTTCCCTTTGTCAGTGGTGCAGAATGGAGGACCTGACAAGGAGGGCTGTCTAGTCGTTCGGATGGAACGAAAACCCGAGGTGCCGTGTACACATTGGCGTGCACGTAAAACATCCCTTGGCAGTTGAATTTCTATATAAGAGTAGACCATAGCGTCGCTGTTCGGACAAAATTTCCCTCATAGCCCGTTTTCATTAGCCCAGTCGGAGCCAAACAGTAGGGCGTTAAATCCTATTTCATTTCATTTCACGTAAAAAGCAGTTTTGCAGCGTTTCATGAGCCAGATCTCTTTAAGAATCCAAGTATCGTTTTTCGGGATACAACGGAAATCTGGCATTCGGGATTAGGACTGTGTATAAGCCATAGATGTTCAGGGAAATGTCAATTTCGGATTGGAATTGACAAGTAAGTAAGCGGTAAAGAACATCTTGGTAGGGTATGATACTGGTTTTGGAGCACTCTATACCAATTCCGTGATGCGTCTGTATATTTCTTGATTCTTTGGTAAATGATATGGCAATCACTCAACGCAATGATCCCAACTACACCCCGCAAAACACTTTTTTAATCGTTTACTTGCTCTGGGAATGAAAAAGACCTACTTTCCTGCTAAAATTGTGAGATCACAGTGAGTAGAAAAGTAGAAAATGTCTTGGGTTAAAGATGCATTATGAAGATCGATTCGTTCATGCTATAATAGTTAAAAAATTGATAATTCAAAATTAATGTATTGAAAAGGTTCATTCAAAATACTTCATGCTGGGCGACGTTATCCCTATTTGAAGTTTTGACAGATTGTTTATTATCGTAGCAACGTTACTTGTTAATCGAGACTCAATCTTCAAATGACGATTATATTTCAATCCGTTTACGTCTGCGCCATTCGATGCTCTAGAGGGTTGATTATAGGCTTGGCATATGGTTAAAATATCTATATAAAAATTCATATAACATTTGAAGTAAAAACAAAATCCTGTAATATGCAGATTTAGCTGTTACATAATGCATCTTTTAGTATGTACACACATATATTTTCATGACCCTTTTCGTTTCAGTTACATTGTGTTTACAAGCAAACATGGTGAAGGGTATACAAATTGGCCATCCAATATATCGTTCAACTGGAATTCAATGGCTGTTGGTCCCAAAAGAGATATTGTTGGTATGTATTGTATCTGTTAAATATTTTTTCTGAAATTTGATTACTAACTGAAATGCTACATAGGGCTAGATATAAGAAATTAAAATACTATTTTTCAGGTGAACTAATGGAAGCAATTCGCGGTAAAACGAAACTGCACTTTGGTCTATACCACTGCTTATATGAATGGTTACATCCACTGTATCTTCGAGATAAAGAAAATAACTGGCAAACACGAGATTTTGTTACGGTAAGTTGATCCCCACAATTGCTTGATTCAATATGACCTGCCATTAAAATTCCAGAGAAATATGTTGCAATTTGCAAATAAAGTACGAAATAAATCAAGCAGAATTAAACAACAACTCTAGTCCATGAAAATAAAAACAAATTCGAGTAAATAGTAAACGGACTTTCTATATGAGAAGCAATACTGAAGTAGTATCTGAGATGATAGTTCTGTCATTGCATGTCCCATTAATCTCTAATCAACATTAAAAATTTTTGAATGCACAATGGTAAAACAAACCCATTGTCCCAGTAATTAAAATATTAAGCAGTTTTCATAAAGTGTACAAGCTGTGGCATATTATATCAAACAACAGATGTATACCACATAGTAAAAGTGAGTAAAAAAGAATATATAATATTGTATGAAACACCCATAGAAATATCAATTACATGCGGAAATATTCTAAACTCAATTTTTCCAACAGAAAAAAGCTTTACCGGGCCTGTATGAGATAGTAAATACATATAAGCCAGATATTGTGTGGTCTGATGGTGATTATGAAGCACCTGATACCTACTGGAATTCAACTGGCTTCCTTGCTTGGCTTTACAACGACAGGTAAACCATAAGCCTTCTCTTTTTAAACGAGAGGCTTCATTTATTTATGGTGTTATATAAAAGTAATTCTGCCAAACCTTAATTAAATTTTATGTTTTGTTTTATTTTCCTAATTTACTATCTGCTTATATTCAAAAGCTATCAGAATTTATATAATTGTAAATATAAGAATTGGCATTTGATTTTGCCTAAAATAAGGTAAGTCGTGACGGATAGCTTCCCAAAACTTATGTGTATAGAAATATATATTTTTTTTTAACTTTTTAGTCCAGTTAAAGATATAGTTGTAACTAATGACAGATGGGGAATTGGTGCTAACTGTACACATGGTGGCGTTTGGACTTGCAGAGATAGATATCTTCCCGGTATGTGAATTAGTAGATTTATCAGTAATGTATTTACATGTATTTTAAATTAGCACACATGTTGATAGTACCTGTAATACGGAATATATAATGATACACGTGTTATGATAATCTTTTACCAAAATACAAGCAACTATACCATTCTAGTTTTTAGTTATACCTTGTTCATATCTTTATTGGGTTTTTTTGCGGTTAAAGCCAGATTGTTCACATATATCAAAGTGAAAAGATAGGTATTATTTTGATTTAAAGTCTTATCTAATTATAAACACCCATTAAAAGTTGAATGGTCATAACATTACGCTAATGCATGTAATATTGAACAAGAACTTTGGTAGTGTATGATCTTTAACTTGTCGCCATATAAACCTTCAAAATTCACTATCTTATATTTATAGCTTACTGTGTCCTTGTTTTATCACATTTACGCATGTCTTAAGTTTCTAGTTAATTAATTTTGTATGCTATTTCATCGCTGTATATTGAATAATGAAATTGTATTATCTAGGTAAACTTCAAACACATAAATGGGTAAATGCCATGACTATTGATAGACAATCGTGGGGATATAGAAGAAATGCAGATTTAAGTCAGTATCTCAGCATAGAAGAAATATTGGCCACCTTTGCTCAAACTGTAAGGTAAGAAGCGGATGGAATTAATATCATATAGGGCTACAAACATAAACCTTTATCACCCCACCGAGAAAATGGATACAATTATTTTGAATAATAAATTATCCACACTTTTTATCAAAATTCCAAACATTGCTAATATGTTTGCGGGGTTAGATGGCTGAATGGTTAGCACGTGGCGCTGTATCATAAAGTCGGTCATTGAGTCAACTGGCGGGGTTTCGATTCCCCGGTTGTACGTGACAAGGAGTAGGGTCGCCTGTCCAACCTCGTTAGTCCCGAAATGACCTAGTTTGTGTCGAGTGGACATGGAGTAAAACATAGATGAGTGTGTTTTTAACCCCTGAAAATTCGCATAAAATCTAATTTTATCCATTGTTAACAATATGATATTCATAATTTGTGTTGCAATGTTCCAAATATAGCCCAATTTATTTTCAGCTGTGGAGGCAATATGCTTATGAATGTGGGGCCCCAGAAAGATGGTATTATCGCTCCTATATTTGAAGAGAGATTGAGACAGTTGGGCCAATGGTTGTCTGTGAATGGTGATGCTATTCGTGGAACAAGACCATGGACAACACAAAACGATACATTAACTCCTACTGTATGGTAAGTTAAACACACCCGGTCTTACAATTACAAGTTTGTTTTTCATTAGTTTTCTTGTGGTATTAAAGTTTGAAATACTTCTGAAAATTGGATAGTGGTGCATATATATGTCAGAAAAGGGCCAGGACATTCTTTTTTGAAGAATATTTATTTAAATCGATGGTTGGGGTGGGTGGGTCTTAAATAATTTCCTCTCATTGTAAATCCTCACCGAAGAAATACTATTATAAAGTTTTAGCCTTGGGTATATAATTCATAGCGCAAAATCCAAAACAGGTATCGGTCATTTTGTCTGAATAGACTGGTTATGAATTGAAAACGTATTATTTAGTAGAGAGAGGAAATGATCTTTTTTGAAAGATAAAAACACAGATTGTCATACCTGCTAAAATGCATAATATCCAAGGTCTTTACATTTTTTCTCTTCAACAGGTATACCAAGAAAGCTAATATCATATATGCTATTGTTTTAAACTGGCCAGAGACAGATACATTGGAGCTTGCTGCTCCTGTGCCCTCGGCGAATACACGTGTTGCATTATTAGGATATACTGGTGGACAATTTCAGTATACAAATCTGCCTACTGGCGGTATTGGTATCATGATACCACCTATAGCAGTTAACAAAATGCCTTGTCAGTGGGCGTGGGTGTTTACGTTAACAAATTTGAAAAACGCGTAGTTTAACCAAGGATGTTAATGAAATGTTGACAGTAAAATGTTTGGGATTTTGGATAAATAGCAATTGGCTACGAATTGCTTGATTGGCTATGATGTATTTTATTTATCCATGTACATTATTATCAGTTATTACATTATTTTAGTGGAATATTAAAATAGTTTCAAATAAAGCTTATTGTTTTCCATGCTATAGGGCATAACCAAACATTAACATCAACATACAGGTTCCTAGTAGCATTTCCATTCTCCACAAAAATGAATTGTGTCCCGTCGTCACACTTTTAAAATGGGTATCGGCTGCGGGATGGACATAATATGTACACCACTTATACACGTTGGTTAAAATTCATATGTTCGAGTATAATTCTCCTCTCTCACACTGCACACTAACCACATGTCTATAGATATATTTCAAACGTCTAATATTATCACCAAAATAAAGCCCCAGTCCGAAATCCGTACCCAATTGGCCAAAATACAAAATTTCCAACGGTTTTGGATTGAAAATTCCAAGTTTCACCCAATTATCATATGAACGAGTTTGGTACCAAAATATATGTTTTCGGGGTAGCTGAACTTATTTCAATAATTTTTCTGATTAGTGAAACCGCTGATCAATATTGGTGGGGGAGGGAATATTCAAGATTTAGACCAGCTTGGGCGGGAAAATGCGACGCAAGGAATAAATTTGGTGTCCGAGTCGAATTTCCTACATATTTCGGTAATTAAGTGATACCTCGATCAGAGATTGGGGATTAGTGATACTACATGTACTACCTTAGACCTACCTAATACGATAACATTCATTTTCAACTGGGGTCGCTCATCTCAATGCGGTAGCAGCGCATCGGGCATGTCGACTGGGGAGCACCCTCAGCTCACTGCGCTAGCAATGCAGTGGGCGTGTCTCAGCTGGGTCAGCAATCCCGATGGCTGAACTAAGATGGTCATTGAAGCACGCGACGAATTTATTTCACAAAATACTGAAGTATCGCCTGTTTGTCAGGAAAGTAATGAACTTCCAGGGGTCACGAAAATGACGGATATTGGCGGCTTTAAAAAGGGGACATAGCTGAGAAATTGAGGTCGTCCTTTCGAGCTCGGTGAACAATACCACATGGAATGTAACAAATTGCACTGTCTTTCAAGTAATACTGCTAAAGGCTATTGAAATGTAGGATCCTGTACCGACCTCTAGATGGTCCGTGGTGCCAAAGTTCATTTTTCGAACCGAAGGAAAGAATATTAGACGGTCTATTACAGCATTTAGAATCGATGACCTCTGTTACAACAGTTAAACATTAGAACTCGCAACAACAATTTTGTGGGCATGCCAAGGCAGGAAATATGACGACTGGACAAAATTTAGCGTAACCGTTCATTAATTCATTAATCTAGCTGTATTTAACAAATCAACAGTGATGGCGCTCATTAATTACTTGGCCAGTCGAATAAAATGGCTTATACAGATGTGCCCTTTTTTGCATTCCTTATACGAAAGAAACGATTGCGACTGATTTACGTAGCAACACTGTCACTGCATATTAACAAAGCAGTTGTTTGTATAAAGTATCTAGTAATCAAATTGTGGATTACTTAGTAACCTAAGCAAAAGATGCGCTTCGGCGAACTTAGTCAAGATATTGGTGTGATACAACCCTTGTCTGCACCATACAATGCCGAGTTTAATTCTCGTGTGTGAAAGTGTGTCTCTAAAATATAGTGCGGTGCTTAAAATAAATCGACCTAGATTCCTGTGAGAAGTAAGTACACCATGCCACGCACACGACCCGGTCACTAGTTATAACTAATCGGGGCTACGGTTTGGATTTAAGATGGCGAAGGCTACTTGGTATAAGATAACAGTAAAAAAGACAAATGTAAGAATATTTAAGTTTATTCAATAATTGACAAGGCCGTCCAATTTAAAAATCCAGGCCCATTTACAGGGTAATTCGTTTATGGAAATATTTGATAAGTCTATATCCATTCCAGTGTGTATACCTCCATTCCATTTGATCTTGCCTTGGTATCCTAGAAGCGTCACCACTGTACTTCCTTGGGTAATTGGCGCTTCTAAGTTGATATTTCCCTGCTTTGGCCAGTCCAATAAAATGGCGTATACAGATGTGCCCTTTTTTGTATACCTTATACGAAAAAAAAATGATTGCGATTGATTTACGTAGCAACACTGTCACTGCATATTAACAAAGCAATGGTAACAAAAATTAACTGTCCATAAAACACTGCCAGACTATGGACAATTTATTGTTCTCATTAGTCTACTAATTTTACATGCTTACACTTGCTGACCATATAATGTATCCCTGGAAGCTAAGGAATTCTTGTTGTACTTTGTTTATAAATAAAGTCATCTGGCCAATGTCTTTTTTTCTAAAGGTGCAGGGTGTAGAGTTGTGTGAAAGTTTGACTGTGTGTAGCCCCCCCCCCCCGCGTTCTCTCCCTAAAGGAATGAACATTTACAAATAATCTGGAAGTGTTACAAACACAAATAAAACAAACTTGCATGTCCCTTTTTTGGTCTAGAGCAATTATACATACCACACATCGAGAGTATATGCATCTTTATGTGTGGACCAGGGTTTAGACCCTTTGATAGCTTCTTCATTTACTTTCATCCAAGAACCAAATTCTCTCAATCGTTCTTCAGCGATAGGACTAATCACCCCCTCTTTTGTTGGACCAACATTTATGACAAAATTTCCACCTAAACTAAACACAAAAATACATATTAGTTACACTAAAAAACAACAGAGTATAATGCGTGTATTTAGGAAGGCTGTATGATTCTTGGACAATATACTGTAAAATAAACTATCAACTGTACTAGCTTGCAATTATTTAATATACCTTTGGTATCCTCGCCAAAACAAGCAAGTTCAACTGCAATGTATTTTCAACAAGCAAATTATATAAATTGGATTAAATATACATTATGTAAGCGCTATTCGTTAAACGTTAAAATAGAATATTATAGAGATTTCGTTTATTATAGTAGCACTTGTACTAGACAATCAAGACTACGATACTCAAACTTTCGTAACATCGCCAGGATAAATATTAATTTGACTTACGGTTTGAATACATTTATTTGACATTACATGTAACCATTTTAAACTATTGTAGCAAGAATGATCGGCTCTTTATTGGAATCTTACATAATGCATCTTTTAAGTCGTATTGAAAATACTTTTAGACTCGTATTTTTAATTATCCAGCCCAGGCAGTGACGCAATTAATAAATTCTCAGATATGTCTGAATTTTGCATACAGTTTTACAACTTATTTATGAAACCAGATGTAATTGTATAGCTAAATCACACTAAATCGAAGATCCACAAAACGTAAAATCGCACAATTCAATACCAACCTCACTGTCTCCGCAAATGTTGAAATAAGGTATTGTGTTGTTAAATAATCAGAAAGATTCGCATTTCTTCTAAATCCCCAAGATTTACGGTCAATAGTCAGACCAGTCTCCCATTTCCTTTTCAGTAAATGTCCTGGCTGATATCTGTCGTTACAAGTTAAATAACCACCATGATGACAGGTCGCATCCTTTCCCCATCTGTCGTTGGTAACAACCGTGTCCTTTACTGGACTGAGCGAATAAAATAAAAATAACATTTTTTTATTGAAGGGACCATAATCCAAATGGTACATATAAAAATATATTTTGCACATACATCATTGCAGCTTAGTTATATTCTCACCGAGCATCACGAAATAAAATGGCCAATTTAGGGACAGTATAGTATGGGACGAGGTCTATTAATTTTGTGTCTCAAAAATGAAGTGGACGGAATAGATTGTCTTCTCACAATTCAGATTTCCATGGCACTTCCTATGAAATCGGCAATTGTACTTTTAACACAAATCTAGACGTTTTAAGTATCGAATGCAATGTTTGCAAACCAACCTATCATTATAAAGCCAAGCTAAAAATTCTGTTGATTTCCAATATGAACTGTTTGCTTCCCAGTCACCGTCAGACTCAATGATTTCGGGCTGGTAGGTATTTATTATTTCATACAGTTCTGGCATGGTTTTGGTCTAAAAAACAAAAAACCTTAACTTTATAACAATCGAAGCTATACTTGAAATATTAAATATTAACTAACAAGGGTCAAATAAGTCTCCACGTGAACTGCATGTTGTACTAATCGACATATGTTCACACCTGACCTAATAAATCTGTTATAAACAATGTTCTCTATATCTATCTATCTATACTAATATTTGTGACTGTCGTTTGTCTGTCTGTCTGTTTATCTGTCTGTCTGTCTATCTGTTCGGGGTTGGGGGCTACACTAGGTCTGCCCTAAGTCTGAAATTTGGGGTATAGGGGTAGCTCGGACCGGGGAGTAACATAGGCCAGGTGGCGTTAATCTACCACTTCCGGTTTCGGGGTTATGACCCCGAGCGAAGCCGGGCATTCTTCTAGTTAAAAATAACACGCAATTCTTTTCAGAGTTTGATATTTGATTCGGACTACTTTAGGGACAACGACAATTCAAATGGAACATATAAAGTATTCAAACTCCTCGGGTTTTCTGTAAAGAGTATGCATAATAATGCCTCATAAAAGGCACCTTTAGTACTCACTTTAGAATTAGAGAGATGTAGGATATAGAACTTACATCTACGAAAGCTGTTGTTGTGAAATTATTTTCTTTGTCTTTTAAATACAATGGATGAAACCATTCAAACAGAGAATGATACAGACCAAAATGTAGAGATGTGTTGGATTTAATGACTTTTGCAAATTCACCTAAACAATAAAAATGAGAAACACTCAAAATTAATGGAGACTATCCTTGTCCCACTAATATTCCTGAAAATCTGCGAGAATATACCTTGATGCATGTTAATAAATAATCAATCACATAAAACTGAGATAATAATGGTTCTGGGACTATCTTCTGATATCCCAGAAATTAAAATGGATGAATATTTGAACTCTATGGAGTGAATGCGAGTATGGGAATGTATTGTGGATATTTGAACCCTGTTTAGTGTGTATAAATAAGTGGCTTTACGAAAAATAGGAAAGTGAATGGATTTCATCACAACTATATCAACATAAAATAAGAGCTTTTTGACCACTGTTGCTATGTAATTTCGGGACAAATCATAATATAATTTCAATCATTACAATTTGAAAGAAATTACACCCCATCTCGTACCGACAAGATCCCGTTTTGGTCCAACAGCCATTGAATTCCAGTTGAAAGAATACTCGGATGGCCACAGAGTAAAACCTTCATGATGTTTAGTTGTCAATATTACGTATCTGAAATAGTAAACAAATATAAATTTTACAAAAAGGATTAACTCGATATTCCACAAAATATCATGTAAGTTAAATTATGCATCAAAAACCTATATTACCATATATGAACCATTTAAACGGTTTTATCTTTTTTATTTGGAAAAGAAACCGAACAACAAGACATTTTCTAAAACATAGAAAATACATAAATTAACAATTTTTAAAGGTTTTCAGTCATATTATGTAGGAACTTTATTAAATCATATTGTGGAAGAATTGATCAAATACAAACTTAATTCTCAAAATTAATTTTCCTAACAGTTGTTTAAACAATGTTTTAAAATAACTATAACAATGACAATATTATTATATTTAAAAATATATACTTTTCCTAACAGTTGTTTAAACAATGTTTTAAAATAACTATAACAATGACAATATTATTATATTTAAAAATATATACTTGGTCTAAGATACTCTTACAACTTTGACCCAATTATTTGAATAATAAAAATAAATTAAGCCATCACCAATTTCCCCGATTCTATGGAGAAGTGAGTAAAAATAAATGGTATTCAAAATATTTAAATTACGTACTCAGCTCCAGCTGCTTGGAAAATCTCGGCCCATTCATTGGGATCAAAAAATTCCGCTGTAAACAAAGGTGCAAAGTCGGCATACGTAAAATCTGGAGGATAATTTCTTTTCATGAAGTCGACGTAAGCCGGGATTTTCTGTCCTTGCCAATACCACCAAAACCATTCCGATGCATAATCGGGTGAATAACTTGGTACAGAATATATACCCCAGTGGATATAAATGCCAAATTTGGCTTCGTCAAACCAGGTTGGCAACGGTCTAGAATCGATCGAAGGCCAATTCGGTTCATATCGAACAGCAATCGAGAAACTGACCGTGATTATAAAACATAACCTTCCTAGAAAATTCATTATTAAATTTGATTCGGGCACCCATGCTACTTAACGTGGTTTAACAGCTGGAATAACGATCTACTTTATTCAGATAACATATCTTTTTAGAGGCAATAAGTGAATTGTGAAGGTCATTGCGAGGGGTAAATTTAATGCCAAATTAAGTGTTACTCATATTAAAATGATCGTTGTTTTCTTTTCTAATGGTAGACTATGCACTTCCTCAGAAGGAATGGGTACAGCCTTTGGGATGCTCCGGGAAACGGTAGTTATGGCCAGACGGTCGTATCAATTAAACTCAACAGTATATCCGGGAGGAGGCTTATGGAGGAAAGATAGTAATCTACCTTATCGATATCTTTGGAAGGGGTATTGTAAAACATCGAGCGAATCAAGGCGCGAAATATTGTGTATTGTTGGCATTATTGTAAAGAGGTTCGACACAAATTTTGACACATAGTTTCCGGCCGGCCATTTAAGTACGTTTCGGTTTAGAAATTGCTGACAAGGCTTGATTATTTAAATTTGCGCCGGGCGAACCAAGGGTCGAAATTTTAGGTGGCAATTATATTTATTACATCGGATATAGACTGCAAACGCAGATTTCTAAATGTTGTTATTTTTGACGTCCGGAACATGATTAAACGGAACATTGCTAGACTCTGCATTTAAATAAGGGGAGAAATAATACGTGCATTATACCTCGTAGTGAAAGTAGTGTCCTCGCCCCTAGTAAAAAGCGTAGGGCCATCGATTAATAAGAGGAAAATGCGGAATAGGAAACCTTCCAAATGGGGAAACATAACTCATATTTGTTGAGTGATAGTTCGCTAAATTATCTGGATATTTGAAATCTAAACAAGTTCCAAAATAGCGGGGTAGGATAAATGAAATCTAAACTATCGCTAAGTCGCTGTGTAGGGGAGGGGGTATAAATCTAAAATTTGCCAAATTACCGGGATACAGGAAATCTAAACAACCGAGATATTTGAAAGCTAAACAAAGAAATCTGATTAATTGCCAAATTCCTGGGATAAATTAAATCTAAATAATTGCTAAATCACCGGACATTTGAAATTAAAATAGTTTTAGCAAAATCTAAATAGTTTTAGCAAAATCTAAATAGTTTCAGCAAAATCTAAATAGTTTTAGCAAAATCTAAATAGTTTTAGAAAAATCTAAATAGTTTTAGTAAAATCTAATAACTGGCAAATTACAAGATAGGTGACATCTAAATAATCGCAGAGATAAAATGAAATCTAAATAATCGCAGAGATAAAAGGAAATCTAAATAATCGCAGAGATAAAATGAAATCTAAATAAACTCTTAATCAGTCAAATAAACTAGATCCAATAGTAAGTACAGGGGAACCTCACTACACGCAAAACGAAGCCTATAAGACAAACCAACGGACAAGACAAACTACACTACACTACCGCCATTCCGAAGGCGATCTTTACAGCGCAGTGAGCAAACAGGGACAGGGCCCAACAACGAGAACCTTCTGAAGTACGAAGAGCTAAAAGTGTTCTCTAATGGTAAGTGCAGGAGAACCTCACTACACGCAAAACGATAATCGTTTAATCACCCAGATAGATAGAATATAAATATAAATCTAGATCCACTGTATCCATAAACATACGAACATATAATGAACAATATTAGACACCATATTTTAATAGTAGATATCTTCAAAATGTTCCAGGTCTTAAGTTCCGAATAAAATATTTTGAAAATTTTAAAAAAAGTATGGAAGGGTCAAATTAAAAGAAATTACCCCGAATCTATCAAGGCGAGGCCACTACAATATAGAGTGAAGACGAGAATTGTAAATTTGATTTTTCCATTGCCAAAATAGTAAGATGGGGGTATAGATTTATAAAGGGATTGAGGACGATGCAGTAGGTAAATTTCTTGAACGATCAAGCTGATACCACCTCCAACTGCAGAACGGAAAAAAGACGAACATGTATTATTTAAGTTATGCAGAAATATTCAGGGACATTGTTTTGGTTTATCAGGCTATATGAAGTAAGATTGGTGTCAAAAGTGGCATCTAGTATTCACCTTCCCTCTGGCAGTCTGCCAAAACCGGTTTCTTTTAAATAAAAGTTTGTTTCCTGTACCTTTTAAAACATTTGTTATTTCAGTGATACTCTCATCCCATATAACGTCACAGTAGGTAAAATAAGGTTGAATACTTTCGTTATGCTAGGTTCCCACTGTCGTGCGATGCGTTACAATAGGATTTTCCCTATTGAGTGCATAATCTGGTACGAGAAGATATGTTCGGGCACGTTTCGATACCATCAACACGATTGCCACGACTGACCTTAATATTGGATAGTATCACCACGATTAAAACCACGATTTCAATCATTGCGCCATTCGTGGTAGTGAAAACCTAGCATTAACGAGGACAGTTAATTGGTTTACATGTTAAGCCAAAATGTTATTTATATCAATATCCCACCTGCAGTGTGTTTGAAAAGTCAGCAGGCCCAGCTGTTTTTTTTGTGCTCGAAGCCTTCTTTAAGATTATCTAGCCATATTTTTTTGAGAAAAATGAACCCATTTTAGGTGCTAGTGTTTTAGGTTTTGTGGGTCACCTATGTTCATATACAAAGTCGTGTCATCAACAAATAGTTTAATGCTGGAGGGGGATCACGTGGCTAAGTGGGTAAGACGCTAGCTCGCTAGCCTGGAGGTCGGGTGTTCGATCCCTGCATTGGCCGAGAAAGTTCATCCAGATTTTCCGGCGTGGTTCTCCCTTCTCAGTGATGCAGGACGGAGGGGCTGGCAAGGAAAGCTGTCTAGTCGTTCGGATGGGACGAAAAACCGAGGTCCCGTGTACACATTGGCGTGCACGTAAAAGATCCCTTGGCAGTTGGAATTCGATATAAGAGTAGGCCGTAGTGCCGCTGTCCGGGCAAAATTTCCCTCATAGCACACTGTATGGCGTATGCCCGTCTTCATTAGCCCAGGTTAGGAGCAGAACAGTAGGACGTTAAACCCCATTTCATTTCATTTCATTTCTAATGCTGGAGTTTATATTATTTACTATATTGTGTCTGTATATAATGCGAGGGGGGGGGGGGGGCGGGCACGGTGGCTAACCGGGTAAGACAATGGCTCGCTAGCCTGGAGGTCGGGTGTTCGATCCCTGCATTGGGCGAAAAAGTTCAGCCAGATTTTACGGCGTGGTTGCCCCTTGTCTGTGATGCAGGACGGCGGTCGACCGAGGTCCCGTGTACACATTGGCGTGCACGTAAAAGATCCCTTGACAGTTGGAATTCGATAATACATTGTTGTCTGTTCGACGAATAGTCTCTTGACCAGGATAGTAGGACATTAAAACAATTGCTAAATCACCAGGATAAATGAAACTAATTATTGGCTAAATAGATGGCATAGATAACATCTTAATAATCGCTATATTTAGACTTACTTAATGATTTTGCAAATTTTTATAATATCTTTTTTTGATGAGAATAAGGTAGAAATTATAATATACATTGAATGAATTCCTAATGATACAACACTATACGACTGTAGCACCATTAATATGTTCGCTTATGTATTTTGGGTTTTTATTACCATTTAAAGAAATTGTTTCGATGCATAAATGTCTAGATACGATATTGATGTCGATGTTAGTGGATATAAATGGAAAGAAGACAAGTAACATTTGCCAATTAACCCAGCGTCACTCACAATATCACGATATTTTCAACCATGTTCAACTTTCTTTTTTAGAAACAAAAGAGTTCTATCCCTGTATACAAAAAACTTTTATTCAATAATTTAAATATCAAAGTATTTATTAATTAGCTAAACCAGAAAACTTAAATGTCCATGCCCACTGGCAGGGTAATTTATCTGCAGGAATAGCAGGGATGGTGATATCAATTCCTTTTCCAGGTCTGGCGGTCCAGGTAAATGTTCCAGGGTATCCAAGCATTTCTACTGTGGCGCCAGCCTTAGTCATTGGGGCGTCCAAGCTAAGGAGTGGGCCTTTTGGATAATCGAGCACAACGGCGTATACTGTGGACATTTTCATTGTGTACCTGAAACGTAAAATAATTTTATAGAATGAAAATTGAAATTTTAGTTCCTGGGTTACTAGATTTATCTTTGGAAAAATGTGGTGGATATTAATGGTAAACATATCAATAGACATTCTTATTTTGGTGGTGGACAGCTACGATAAAATAACAATTCATAGGGGAGTCAATTAAAGGCTCAATACCACCCTTGTTGTAACTGAATAATATGTCCCAATCTTTATTCTGGTCAACAAATTGTACTATTTTACAATATTCCAATTAATTGATGATACAAATTTCATCTTAACACACCTAATTTAAAAAAATTGGAAAAATTCAACTAAATGATTTGAAAAGCCTGACGTAAAGCTTTTCAAATGTGACTTGGATTCAAAAATATTGAACCCTCTGGTCAAGTAAAATAGAATTTAATGGATAATTTACACAACATGTATATATAGGACACTAACACATCTAGTACTTAGAATAAGGCTATTTTTTATTTTCTGGAGCTGTCAAGTCAGCAAGAGTGTTATTGTCCCTTTAATAAACCAATCGATATGTTAACGTTTCCATAGAAAATAATGGATGGTATTGAATCTGCTCTGATATTCATTTCACAGTTCGTTATATTAATCTAACTTAATAAAAAAAACTCCAAACCTAAAATCTTTAATTTCTAATAATTCTAACAACAAAAATGGAATATGTGAACATTATGCATATAATATTTTAAAAATATTGCACTCACCAGACATTTGGAGTTAAAGTGTCGTTTTGAGTAGTCCATGGCCGAGTGCCTTTAATTCCTTCACTATTAACTCCCATCCAGTCACCGAATTGTCTCAGTCTTTCTTCATAAAGAGGATTGATTACACCTTCTTTTGTTGGCCCAACATTCATCAACATATTTCCACCAGTGCTGTATAGTAAAACGTGTATTATAATTATTGTGATAAATAAATAAACAAATAATTTTTCAAATTTTGTTCTCAATCATGATAATGTTATTATAAATGAAAGTTGTAGTGCATTATGTGTGTTGAATAGCTAGAAATATTACTGTAACAATTTCAGGCTGCGTCTCTTATATCGTCAAATTAACTTTCAAAATATAAACAGCTTTGTAAAAGTTATTATGCAGGGGGAATATGTTAGTATTAAACTGAATATCAATTCAGAAAAATCCCGGACATATTATGTAGCGTTATATAGATTATTTGTTTCTTGTAAAGTGAGGTCTAATCAACCCGGTGGCCCGTTTCAAGAAGCATACTTAACGTTGCGTATGCGTTCGTTCAAAACAGTCGTGTAACCAAATTCGGGATTTACGCTAACACAAGTCTTAGTGGATTCTATGGAAGGGGATCGTGGTTCTCAATATTTTCCTTACCAAAATGTGAAACTATGAAAAACATGATATGATATACCTGACTGTCTCAACGAATGTTGCTATCAGCGTATGGATAGATAGGTAATCTTTCAAGTTGGCATTTCTTCTATATCCCCATGATTTTCCATCAATTGTCATTGCATTTTCCCATTTCCTTTTTTGCAGGACACCTGAAATACATTTGAAATATAATATTTTCTCCACACACTGTCAACAACTTTTACATAATTTACAATACGACACGAACATCTATGTCGTTAATATCATAATAAAAATTCTAAGAATATGACACTTTGTCTGAACAAGCTAGGCAACCGAAAACACTTTCAATCTGATTGATTATTAAAGCTACTAGCCTAGTAATACGGTTTATAAGACAGACCAGGATTTTTTCTAAAGATAACGAAAGATGGAAACAATTTATAATTGTTATTGTTATGGTGACCTCTTGGTATATGATGAGAAACAAAACGTCCTAGATTAATCTTTTTTATACATACCAGGTTGATATCTATCCATGCAGGTCAAGAAACCACCGTGATGACAGTTGGCATCTATACCCCATCTATCGTTGGTTACAATGGTATCTTTAACAGGGCTATATAGATAAACATAATATATGATTTATCGTCTCTGCTTTGTAATACGTGTAAGTAGTATTGTATGTACTAAACGTTAGTCAAAAACCAAATCCTACAGTAAAACATCCTAATGGTAAACCATATCCCACTAGACAAGTGGTACAAGGGTGATGGAAAAGGTGAACTTAATCGGCCCCGTGCATGATACAATTTAGATAATTGAAACAGAAGTACAATCATTAACACTAAAATTTCTACGGGAATTAGACACCGTGTGAAATAGATTTTAATCCATTTCTCTCAATCAAAAGATCGACCCGCAATGCTCTTTAATTTTAAAAACTAAATATGGTGACATTGACCTGCTTTAGTTTTAAAAAGTAATATTGACATAATTGATCTTCTACCTGTCGTTATATAACCAGGCTAAAAAGTCAACAGACTTCCAGTAAGTACTTGGAGCTTCCCAATCACCATCAGACCAGAGAACTTCAGGCTTGTAAGTATTTATAATTTCATACATTTCTGGGGTTGTCTTTGTCTGAATAAATATATAAAATGATCATCAAAATTGCTATTTATACTCTTGGAATTAAAAGCGTTTCAGTCCAGCTGAAATGGATAATAAATGAAATTTAGACAAAATATGTAGAGAAACCATCTTTACAAATAAAATATAGTACAATCGATCCTAGCATACAATGTTTCCAAGTAGTGTTATACGAGGCATTTGTCATCTAAGCTTCAACTACAAGGATAGAGAGAGAGAGAAATGGGGTTTAACGTCCACTCGACACAAACTAGGTCATTTCGGGACTAACATATGGTTTAATTTTATTTACATAATTCGCTTGCGCGTAGGGGTCTTTAGCAGTGGGAGGAAACCGGAGGACCCGGAGAAAACCCACGAGGTTGGACAGGCGACCCTACTCCTTGCCACGTACAACCGGGGATTCGAAACCACGCCAGTCGACTCAATGACAGACTTTATGATAAAGCGCGCGCACGCTAACCATTCAGCCATCCAATCCCCCAACTACAAGGATACTTGCGCACTAAACTTATTAAAACCTTTAACAAGTTTTATGGCCGTCATATTGATTTTATTGGTAAATATAACGTGTCTCTCTCGGCTATTATTCTAGATATATTTAATTGACACGTATACTATTACTATCTCCCTGATAATATCTACTACATCGTTAACACAGTTCATCGCGTGCATTTTGCATACCGATAGTTCATTGGCCAATCACGCTATTTTACCGACATTTCGCCTAATAGTTTGGATGCAGCTATGGCGGGTGTGGCGCCAGGCAGGGTAAGCTTACTCTTCCGGACACCTGTTACCACTGTTTGTCGTGTATTTTGTACACGGTGAGCAGTCGATTTGCTGATTACACTATTTTGCTTGATTACACTATTTTGCCTATACCGTTTGTTTTGGGAACACAACCTGTGTATGCTGTCATTGATAGTCCATTGGCCAATCACGCTATTTTACCGAGATTTCGCCTAATAGTTTGGATGCAGCTATGGCGGGTGTGGCGCCAGGCAGGGTAAGCTTACTCTTCCGGACACCTGTTACCACTGTTTGTCGTGTAATTTGTACACGAGGAGCAGTCCATTTGCTGATTACACTATTTTGCTTGAATACACTATTTTGCCTATAATGTTTTTTAGGACTTCGAATTCTGTCTTATGGTTTGGATTGTTCGTGCTTGGTTTTATTTTATTTATACTACCAAATATTTAATTTTACTTAGCACTTTGCTATTTAAATGTCTGTCATGTCGTAATGTGCAAATGTCTTACATCTGACGATGGTCGTTGTGAGTTGGATGGATGAGAGTGTACTTACATCTACAAACGTTGTTGTCGAAAAGTTGCCTGCTTTATCTTTCAAATAAAGAGGATGGAACCACTCGAACAGAGAATGGTATAGACCGAAACGAAGAGTAGTTCTCGTTTTTATAGCTGTTGCTAGTTCTCCTGTTGATAAAATATCAAAATCAAATATAAGCACAGTATGTGGAAACTTAACAAAATTCAATATAATTTAAAATAAAGAATAATTCTCAATTTGGCAATCTATAAAACAATTAAATATCGACTTTAATTTGTTTAGACAAACAATTAGCAAGTTCTTATTTTGGTATGCAAAATTATTGAGATCAAGACATGAAACAAAAGACTCGATTATCACCTGCTGTTCAATTCAAGATTACAATATTCTCCGGGCGAATTAGGCGAGCCCTGTGTCATCTGTACGATATTACATTAAAAACGTAATATTTCTTTAGATTGCCGGAGTCAAAGTAAATTTCAATAATAGATGCTAAATATGTGCTCTTACCAACCATATCCCTGTGAGGTCCTACAGCCACTGAGTTCCAACTATATGAATAATTAGAAGGCCAGTTTGTATACCCTTCGTGGTGTTTGGAAGTAAAGACAACATATCTACAAATAATATACCGTCTCAATAAATGATTCAAGACATATGGAATAGAAATAGTTTCCAAACTTGTATCACCCAATATTGGTATCAGAATAATAGTTAGGGTATTCGTCGTATAAAGATCATATAACCTCTCAAGAATGTCATGTCACAAGTACAAGATAGGGTACAAGTAAGTAATTTATATCAAACATACTTACTCAGCACCAGAATGCTGGAATATATCTGCCCATTCGTTAGGATCGTAAAATTCAGCGGTTAAAGATGGGGCGAAATCAGCGTATGTGAAATTTGGTTTATAGTCCCTCGCCATAAAATCGCTGTAAGGTTTCAGTTTAGCCCCTTTCCACCACCACCAAAACCATTCCGCCAAGGAATCAGGAGAATAACTTGGAACCGAAAAGACACCCCAATGAATAAAGATTCCCAATTTTGCTTCGTCGTACCATGCTGGTAGCGGCCTGGAGTCTATGGAGGGCCAGTTAGCTTCGTAACGAACAGCAACAACACACGTCAGGACCGCCAAAAGCAACAGCGAAACCGTTGCTCTCATTGTGATCTCTGATAATATGAACTGCTAACACAGGAATGACTTTTTAACAAATAATCCAGGTATATATATATATATAGCAACCAGGTAGCGTAGAGATAAGAATGTAGATATAAACTTACTATATGACTTTACATTATAAGATATATCTGGAAGCATGTATATTTTCCCACGGTGACTTTTGTGAGCGAATAATGCTATTTATAAGTATGTTTCTTCCTTTATCTAACACTTTTAAATGAAAAGAGAAGTAGGGCAAATTTTATTATATAAGATCCAAATTGGAAGAGAAAATGTGTACAGTAACACAAACAGTATTTTTAAATTAACAAAACTATAGTAAATTTAATCATGATATTACATAAATAGAAAATAATAGCCTGAACAAAGTCAGATTTGGGAGATATTTATTTCAGACACAGAAATAACTTGATTGGCGTTATACGGAGCCCGGTAAGGAACACAAAATCAAAAAAATATTTGACGCGCGCTAGTTATTATCCGGTGCGCACCGGATAACTAACTAACGCGCCAGATATTAACTTGCCCAGGTTCTTGATAATACTATTTATTATACATTCACCACATTAGATAATTTAAATACCCAAGCCCATTTACAGGGCATTTCATTGACAGGTATTGGAGGAACCTTGATATATAGACCAGTTAAATGTCTAACTGTCCATTCAAAGGTACCAGGGTAGCCGAGTAATGTGACTACGGTGTTGGACTGTGGCATAGGGGCTGCTAAGGTAAGAGTAGAACCCACTGGCCAATTCAGTACTACGGCATAAACATACGAATTCTTCGTTGTATACCTATAAAATAAATAAATAGCTTGTTATTTGCATAGTGGGCGATATCGTAATACTGTCCTTGCAATTAAGAAATAGAATATTACATTGAAACAAATGACAATTTATATAGAGTTATCGTAATAATAATAATAATAATAATATATAATATGTATATTTCTTCATTACCATATATCCGGTGTTAATGTGTCATTTTGATGTGACCATGGTCTAGAACCCTTGATTGCTTCATTGTTGACATTTAACCACGCTCCCATGTCTCTCAGTCTCTCTTCAAATATAGGATTAATTCTACCTTCTTTTGTCGGACCAACATTCATTAACAGATTACCACCAAAGCTGTTATCAAATAAAACATGTAACTAATTTCAAAGTAGTTACTTAGTCGAAAAATTAAACCGTCGGTATTAATTGTGGAAATACTACTATTAACATTTTAATACTGTTAAAATTGGAATTTGTTGCCATGTTTACGACATCGGTAGTTTTTCCTTTTCTGAAAATTTGAAAAAAGGGAATCTTAGAAGTACCTGACTGTTTCAACAAACGTAGCTATTAGTTGATGGGTTGTTAAGAAATCTCTAATTTCGGCATTTCTTCTGAAACCCCAAGCTAATTTGTCAATGGTCATGGCATTTTCCCATTTTCTTTTCTGTAAGACACCTAAATAGAAAATTATTTCTTTAACGGCATTTTGTGCAGGTGCGGTTTATTTGTAAGAAATCTGTTTTCTTGTGTTTGATATACATAAAACTTCCACTGGCAGAACACGTTTAACGTCTCAACAAGACTAATACTATATAAGATTTTTGACTACATTTCGTTTTTGAATTTCTATGGGCACACGTGAAACGCTTAATCTTCACAGAATTCCAGATTCTTTCAGGCACAATACTAGAATGTACACGAAAGGGTCCCGGTTTTTGCATCCCTCTCAAGTTGTAGGGCAACACATTAATTGAGAATGCCACATTCGGTGCACCGAAATTATTTTGTTGGGATTCAAGCTCGAAACATTCCTCGCGAAAAATTTGTAATCCAATTTTGATTATATAGATTAAACTCTTTCTAAAAATGTATGCAGTAACTTATTATTTATTTGAGAAATTGTTAGATTGGTTGGCGATAAAGCTTGATCAGTGGAACATAAACTTTGTTTCATTATCAGAGACTACTTCTACCCCAAATAGAAAATAGCTAACCAGGTTGATATCTGTCGTCACAATTCCAGAAACCGCCATGTTGACACCTAGCATCGCTACCCCATCTATCATTTGTTATAACGGTAGCCTTAACAGGACTGAAAAAAGGAATAGATTAACGGTTTTGTATGTTTTCTTTGTGATTGTTTTCTTATATATCAGGTCTCAATCTCCAACATGCATAATGAGTCCTGGATAGACCTGTTTGCTAACTACGCCATCCTGTTTCAGTTTGCTATTGTTTGTGATATTTGTGTGTACATATATATGGGCGTATTGGTGACCCGTCTTCATTAGCTCTGTCTGAGCAGAACAGTAGGACGTTAAACCCCATTTCATTTCGTATTGATGATCCATTGCCAAGCATTGATGATAATAATAATAGTAGTTAAGATATCTCAATTCTTATTTGAACACATCCAAAGTGATGCCTTGTATCCAAAATACAGCATCAACGAATCAAATCGCTTATCACTCTGCTTAATCTGAACGTCTACACCACACATGGGCATCCTACCCCAATTAGAAGCAGAGTTAAGCCGAGGGCACAACTAACGTTTACGCACGTTGTTTACAGTAGTGGGGGGGAATGACCGTAGTTTAAACGCATTTAACGTAGTTAGACATCGCAGTTAACCGTAGTTATAAATGTAGTTTGAACTTCGAGGAACCAATGATTTGACCGTGGTTAGTCTAAAACTTTTCAACATGTTCAAAAATATCTGTACTAGGGTTTGACTACGTTTGAAGTACTGTCAAGTACGGTCAACTAGGGTAAAATAGGAACCTATTTCAACCTGGTTTACAGTTCAATTGAACAACTACGTGCGTGACCCCTAAGATGTAACTGCGGCTTTATTGCTCTCCAACAAGTGACATGCAGGCAAACAAAAGACTTCCGTTGTCGGGCTTACATTTCCATGAGTTGAAAAATATATTTTAACAATTTAAACAGTGGTAAGCTACATCATAAACTCAAAATAAAATAAATAAAAAAATAAATAAAAATAAACTCCAAAATATATGTATTCAAAATAAATTAAAGATTTACACTATGCATTAAGACTAACCTATCGTTATATAACCAAGCTATGAATTCTTTTGACTTCCAGTAATTACTTGTAGCTTCCCATTCGCCATCAGACCATACGATTTCCGGTTCGTAAGCATTTACAATTTCATAAAGTTCAGGCATAGTCTTTGTCTGAAATTTCAATTCTAACCAAATAGAGTCATGTAGTTTTGCTACAGCACGCATTTAACTAACACTAGAACATCTCGGATCTAACATACATATATTAGGGTCCACGCTATGGAGAGAGAGAGAGAAGAGAGAGAGAGAGAGAGAGATGGGGTCAACTCGACACAAACTAGGTCATTTCGGGACCAACACATTTTACTTCAATAATTCGCTTGCGCGTAAGGGTCTTTAGCAGTGGGAGGAAACCGGAGGACCCGGAGAAAACCCACGAGGTTGGACAGGCGACACTAGTCCTTGTCACATACAACTGGGGAATCGAAATCACGCCAGTTGACTCAAGGACAGACCTTATGATACAGCATGCACCCCCACCCCACACATCGCTATGGACATACAATGGTTGCACGTAAGGTTCTTTAACAATGGAAGAACAGTACGTCTTACACCATGCTGCCACCATAACCCACACAATAAACCCTTGATTGCTTTGTATATATACTTACATTAACAAAGTTTTGAGTTGTAAAATTATTGGCCTTGTCCTGTAAATACAAAGGATGTAACCACTCATAAAGACAATGGTACAAACCAAAATGGAGTGAAGTCTTTGTTTTTATAGCACTGGCAAGCTCACCTGAAAACAAAAGTACGGTATTGTTAAATTAAATGACCAATAACACAAACTTAAGAGTGTGGTGTCAATACACCGCAGATCAACCCCAATGTATAAAGGGCCTGACAACCTGAAATGAAATGGGGTTTAACGTTCTACTGTTCTACTCAGACTGGGCTAATGAAGACGGGTATACGTCAAATAGTGTGCATCAGGAACGTTAAAAAAAATGTGATACTAGTTGAACTATTGGTAGATTTGGATAAATGGTGCTACGCTTGAACATGTGTAGAAATTGCAATTCCAAGAGATTGTGATACCTATCGAGATGTCAGTCACAATGTAACGTTCCAGTAGTATGCTTAAAGTTTTAGCATTATTATACTAATTTGACAGTTTCTATTTAAATCTGATTGTCTTCTTGGGCCAGTAGTACTACATTATATACTATTCAAAAAAAGTAGGGGATATTTGATTTTTAAGTGTTATTAAAGTCACCTAATGAAACTGACGAAGAAACAAATGACAAAATGAAATGAAGTTCACATTCATCGATTTATTCCAAATGATCGTTAGACTAAGTAAGGCACAGACTGACCATTATAAAGGTAAAATGATACCCGGGGTCAAACAGCAAAGTTACCACAGCATCACAACCAAGTCAGTAACGGGTAAATCCTCCTCTGTTTGCCAAACAAGCATTGATCCGACGTGGCATACTCCTAATGAGACGTCTAAGGTCATTTTGGTCCAGATTGTCCCATTCCTGTTGCAACGCAGCAGCAAGTTCTTGGACATTGGCAGGACGTTGTTGACGTTGACGTAACCTCTGTCCAAGCATGTCCCAGACATGCTCGATGGGGGAGAGGTCGGGACTCAGTGCTGGCCAAGGTAATGTGGTGATGTTCTGTTGTTGGAGGTAACCTGTAACGATCCTGGCCCTGTGACATCTTGCGTTGTCATCCTGGAAGATGAAACGGCGGCCATGACGTCGTGCGAACGGCACAACATGGACTGCCAAGATGTTGTCCCGGTAGTACTAGCCTGTAACACGCCCTGCAACAACATGTAAAGCCGTTCTTCCAGCAACAGTGATGCCTCCCCACACCATAACAGAACCACCCCCAAATCGATCATGTCTGATGACGTTAACGTCTTGGAAGCGCTCGTTTCGACGACGCCAAACCCTCCTACGTCTGTCCAAAAAATCAACAGTGAACCTTGACTCATCTGAAAACATCACATTGCTCCAGCGTCGATTATCCCAGTGTTGACGATCCCTACACCAACGACGTCTTGCCTGAATGTGATGATCTCTCAAACAAGGGATCACGCGAGGACGTCGGGCGCGAAGGTGACCCCTATGCAGTCGATTCCGAATCGTCTGGCCACTCACTCTCACACCAGTGTCTGTTTGAAGACGAGCGCTGATCTGATTTGCTGTGATGACACGATTTCTCAAGGCCAAGGTACGGATAAATCGATCCTGGGCTTGAGTTGTCGCCCTTGGTCGACCTGAGCGTGGTCTGTCCTGTACAGATTGTGTATCACGGTATCTGGACCATAGCCTGCTTATGACAAACTGAGAAACATTCATCGTCCGCGCCACAACCGCCTGTGTTGTGCCGATCTGTAGCATGCCAAGGGCACGTAACCTTTCATTTTGGGTAAGCCGACGCATATCAAAATTTGTTTTCTGGTCACTAAAACAATTAAACTGATGTTTCCACCCTGGAATTCAACGCCACAATGACTGTAACATTCAAAGTCAGAGTCGTGCAAATCTTGGGTTGGACCCCCATGATGATCCCAAGCATCACCTGCATTCCATGCGGTAGCTATTGGTGCGTTTGGGCGTCACATGTAACTGGAAATGTTTCTTCTGTTAGGTTCTATAGTGACTTTTTTCGTAGTCATTTGCATATTTTAGTATTATGCCCCCAAAATCAAATATCCCCTACTTTTTTTGAATAGTATATATATTTAAATATCAGACTGTATATCTTACCGACGATGTCTCGTTTAGGTCCTACTGCCATTGAGTTCCAGTTAAAGGCGTATTTAGAAGGCCAGTTTGTAAAACCTTCGCAATGCTTACTGGTAAATACGATATATCTGAAAATAACTACTGAGATTTAAAAAAGATATTAAAATGTTTATAATAGGTCATTTATACAAAGCAATGTAATCGTTAACATAACTCGTGAAAGAGAGAGAGAGAGAGAGAGAGAGAGAGAGAGAGAGAGAGAGAGAAATGGGGTTTAACGTCCACTCGACACAAACTAGGTCATTTCGGGACTAACATATGGTTTAATTTTATTTCAATAATTCGCTTGCGCGTAGGGGTCTTCAGCAGTGGGAGGAAACCGGAGGACCCGGAGAAAACCCACGAGGTAACTCGTGAAAGAAGTCTTTTCAAACAAGTTAATCGCGGTGCCTTTTAGTTTAACATATTGGAAACATCTTTATTGTGTAAACCATAACATACAATTTTGGTAAAGTACAATACTAACTAAACTTACTCTGCTCCAGAGGCAGTAAACAGATCTGACCATTCATTGGGATCATAGAATTCAGCAGTAAATTGTTCAGCAAAATCAGCATATGTAAAATCTGGTCTGTAATTAGCTTTCATATAATCGTCATAAACTTTCAATTTGTCTCCTTTCCAATACTGCCAAAACCACGCCACCATAGTATTTGGAGGAAATGATATTGACGGCACCGAGAACACTCCCCAATGAATAAAAATACCAAGCTTTGCTTCATCATACCAGGATGGTAGTGGTCTACTGTCTATTGATTCCCATGTTGGATTGTATCTAATTGCCCACGTGTAGTCACACCCTAAGAGCAGCGAGATGGCATACACACACGTACGCGTAAGTAACATCACTATTCGAACTGTGGCGAATATACTCAATATTATTGCTAAATACCATTGCTTAACACTGTATGATCTAGATAAAGCAGGGTTGAACAGCTGTCATTAGTAGGAGAAACAGATCCACTGACGGATCTTTATTGGGGGCACAGCCAACCAGAAATCCTCAACTATCTGTAATTCAAAATATGTATTGAAAAGAATAAAGTTCAAAGCTACCATAGGGTAGAAAATAAGCGAAACTTTAAATTGTACTGCATTTTAGGGCCATAAAAGTTTTGATATTGTATCGAATTTGTATTTCCTGTTCTTAAGTGGTTGCAATGGATTTTCTCTTTTAAACATACTACTTTTAATAGCTCATGTTATGTGCCCATATAACTAGTGCCGAACCTTAAAGCTAGTAAGGAATATTTAAATGTTTTGTATAAAAGACAATAAAAGGCAGTGATTAGTCATATATAGGTTTCCTGGTACTCTTTTGAAGTTATCCCCTGATCAGATTGTCAGAGCAGACAAAAATTCATTCTTTCAAATAGAATTGTCTGAAGCTTTGACACACAAGATTCATATCAAGCGGATTTGTTTTTATCTCGACAGCACCGACAGATGTAAGAGCTGGCCAGCGCTAAGCTAAAGTTGCATACTTCACCATACAGTTGTATGTCGTATTACCAGTCGATGGGGTCGTGAATAAATTTTCCCGATCCCAAGTTTCCTACTACAATCCACCCTAATTAGCTTCCAAGTAGAGAAGAGAAATTGGTAGTGTTATGTTTTTAAATTTGTAGCAGTGACAGTTTTTATTCTTCTGAGAATGGCGTCCTTCAGAAGATAATGTTAATCAGTCAGTGATCTAATATACTCCATTTGTGAGGAAAAAAAACTTAACCTTAATCTTTAAGATTTATTTAAAACAGTTCGACATGCGTTATTGTAACATGCTGATAAGAAACTGTAATATATCGATGACCCTTCAGTATCCCAAAAAATTCTCCAAGATCTGCTCGACTTTGCTTAGCTTTCTATTCACCAACATCACGTGTTCTATACGGAGCAACCTAGAACCTAAAACTAAATTGATAATCTTCTGTACCAGCATGTTGTTTTTTATCCATCATTTATATCAAAATTAACCAAAGACACCATCCAATATATGGAACTATACTAACAATAACTGGCATGTTATATAATAATACAATAAATGTTAGCAATGTGTAGAGTAAGAAATTAGTGCCCAGTTTTAAACTTCCTTTTTTAAAAACAACGTTTTCAGTGCTTAAACGATTTCTTGGTTTTGTAGCAAAAGCTTCCCCGGGGAACCGCTAATTGCTAACACAAATACACGTCATGTTACCTAGCTAGTCTCCACAAACACCATTGGCTTTTGTATATATTGTCATATAAAATTTACTTAAAATTAGTCTGGTCATGAACCCCCGTTTCCGTACCCTTAGAACGACTTTAAGTTTGACTTTTCAACTCCAACGCATTTTTCACAGACCACTATAGTTAGGGAATATTCATAAAGGGAACACGTAATGTAGAACTGTTTATCCTAACACCGGGAAGATGTTCTTCAAACAGCTCAACAGAGGCTTTTGTCACCTCCATCCAATGAGAGGGTGATATTCTTTAAAAAGGCGATTCCTTATTTACGAGAACACATCACATCTATTTTAATATAAACATAATGCTTCTTAAATTAAAATAAAACAGTTTATATTGACCATATGCTATTTATTATACATTTACCACATTAGATAATTTAAAAATCCAAGTCCATTAACAAGCAGTACCGGGATAACCTGTGACTTTTAGGTAAGAGTAGAACCCATTGGCCAATTTAGAATTTAGTACTACAGCATAGACATGTGAAGTCTTCCTTGTATACCTGTAAAATATATGAATAGGTTATTATTTCCATAGTGGGTGATATTATATTACTTTGTTTGCAGATATTAAAGATTACGTTTTGTATATCTTTTACGTTTTTAAAGGATACACAAGCAAATACTAAATTATAGGATTAAATCATGAAAATAACTTTACATTATCTTGATGATTCTAGCATTATATAAACATTGGCGCAAAAAATGAAATGAAATGAAATGAAATGGGGGTTAACACACTACTAGGCTGCACCGATTGGGCTAATGAAGACGGACATAACCATACAGTGTGCTGTAAGGAAAATCATGCCAGGACAGAGGCGCCACGGCCTACTCTTATATCGAGCTATTAGTGAGCAGAAATTCGGCCGTATATCTGTTATCACTCATCACTTCATTCAGTTATATAGAGGGATAACTCATGTTTTCCTTTGGCGTTCGTCACTTCCGATTCATGACACCTGTATTACTCATCTATCGTAGGATTGATCTCTGTGTTAAAATTATATTTGGAACGTGTTTAACCAATTCTATCACATATGTGATAATGACTGACACCAATATTTTCCTTTAATTTCGGGACTATCATATTACATTGTTGATATACAATAATCAGTGATGAGAGTGACTTTTATCTTTGATGATAGGGGCCCACTTAGAGGAAGTAGATTAGAAAAGCGCACTAAAACAGTGTTCCTAACACAAACTGTTTTAATGTAACATGAATCAAATTGCACTTTTTAGTTCACTTTGCGTGGGGGGTTTTCTCGGAAAATCTAAGAAAAGTAAATGAACAAATTTGATGGATACACTCAAAATGTATGTAGTTTGCACCGGGGGCTAAGTGGGAGGGGCGCGATGACGAGCTTTGCGTCATGGTTTTGAGATTTTGCGCCCCTTGAGGTTTTGCGAATCTCGAAAAATGACTAAAGATCTCGCGGTTTCAATGCGGTTTTCAACATTGTAATCATAATCATAGTGGGAGCCACGGTGGCTAGGTGGTTAAGACGCTGGCTCGCTAGCCTGGAGGTCGGGTGTTCGATCCTTGCATTGGCCGAGAAATTTCATCTGGATTTTCCGACGTGGTGCAGAACGGTGGGCCTGACAAGGACAGTGGTCAAGTCTTTCGGATGATACGAAAAACCTAGGTCCCGTGTATACATTGGAATGCACGTAAAAGATCCCTTGGCAGTTGGAATTGGATATAAGAGTAGGCGATAGTGCCGCTGCCCGTCTTCATTAGCCCAGTATAAGTGTAGAACAGTAGGACGTTAAACCCCATTTCATTTCATAACCATAGTGCTCAACCAATGGCAAAAATACACCGTGGGTCAGATATGCTACAACTCGACTCGACTGTAGCTTACATTAGATAAACGATTTATAAAATTCACAGACAAGCTTTAACCATGTAATAGATAAATATGCCAGGTAACTCATATATTTATTTTTGTTCAATTGGAGCAGAGATAAATAAAGTTGTCAATAAATATGCTTAAATATAAACAAACACAATAAAACAGTATATATCAATTATATTGTTTATTTTTATTAAACATTCTCCAAATTAGTGAATTTCAAAACCCATGCCCATTTACACGGCAATTTATTAGCAGCTATTGGCAAAATCGTGATATCAAGACCAGATGATGGTCTTGCTTTCCATTGAAAAGGGCCAGGATACCCAAGCATTGTAACGACGGTGTTTGTTTGTGGCATTGGGGCTGCTAAGCTAAGAGTAGTTCCCATTGGCCAGTCAAGTACTACAGCATAAACAGCGGAGTCTTTCATGGTATACCTGTAAATAGATAAGACATTAATAATTAAATTAGAACCCTTTGGTTGGAGCTATACTAGATCATTACTGCCAATTTATATCTTCATGGATATGTTATAGAGTTTTGAATCTTAATCATTAAATGACGATAACTAAAATTGGTATTGGTTGATTTAAATAAAATTAATTCTTAACATTTATTCTGAATTGTGGTAATTTATTATTTTACAATAATGATGTATAACTTATAATCATTACCATATATCTGGTGTTAATGTGTCATTTTGATGTGACCATGGTCTGGAACCCTTGATTGCTTCATTGTTGACATTTAACCACGCTCCCATGTCTCTCAGTCTCTCTTCAAATATAGGATTAATTCTACCTTCTTTTGTCGGACCAACATTCATTAACATATTACCACCACAACTGTGTTTTTATAAAAATAAAACAGTCAATTATATTAAATTCTAAGTTTTTTATATAAATACAATAAACTGATCATGTATGTGGACATTATGTTTACGATAATAAACACAATTCCACAAATTGTAAAGCGCAATCAATGTCCATAACTATAAACTAGTGTAGTACTTGGACTTCACTACTGGATCATGTCAAAATGACAAGATAGTAAGGAGTTAACATAAAAGTCATTGTTTTATGGTGCGTTACACCCGACACTAGGACACATTTCATTATTTTCAGTCTAAACAAAGTAAAATGAGACAGTTTATAATACCTGACCGTTTCTACAAAAGTAGTTATCAGTTGATGAGTTGTTAGGAAATCTTTAATTTCGGCATTTCGTCTAAAACCCCAAGCTATACTATCAATGGTCATTGCATTCTCCCATTTTCTTTTCTGTAGTACACCTTAATATAATGATTAAGATTCGTGTTATCAAAGATACATTATGCGAGATTAGATAAAGATTTGGCAGTTCTCGCTATAATAGCTAAACACAGGTAATGTAAAGGGGATATGTACAAAACAGGGGCGGATCTAGGAATTTTGAAAAGGGGGGGGGCGCTGCAAAATGAAGGCATTGACCGCGGAGACGGGGCACGCCGCTGTGGGGGGGGGGGGGTCCCAAGAAAATTATCCGTTGTTTCCTTGCATCTGTAGCCATTCCAAGAGCTATTTCCCAGACTGGTGTGTTTGAGTCATTTGGGATCCCTACAACGGGTTGGGAACGGACATATTTGAGTCTGAGAAAAGGCACTTTCAGCAGTAAAAAAGGGCCTCTGGAAAATTTCAGTCACATTACTTTATTCGGGGCCGAGAAAACCTCATTTAAAAAAAAACCGTGCCTCAATTGTCATTGTAACCGCTGTAACGATAGTAAAAAAGAAGTCTAAATTATCCACTTTTGCGGTTAATCATCAATGGATATTGACCAGTAGATCGGATTCAAATCTAATGAAAAACAGACACATAAGATGGCATCGCGAGTTGATTATGGTCTTGTCATGTTAACAAATGTCTAATTAAAAGTTCATATAACATTTCAGGCCTAAAGAAAGACCCGAAATAGGCATATTTAGCTCTTGCATAATGTATGTTTAATTAACCAGTTGAAATGTCAAGTGATGACAGTCACATTGGTGCTCAACCAATGTCAAATAGAGCTGACTGAATACTATTTAATCCTAGTTGCACTGGACAGAATAATTAAATTATAATAATCATGTCCTTTAAAATAATGATCTGTACGACGGTGTGCTTTCTATTTTTGAAAGACACGATACCACTTCTAATATGTTTGTTTAAATGGTGACGCTATTACTCAAGGGAACCCTTATTTACAGTAGCATGAACATCTAATACCATTATTTTGTTTTAAAATTTTACATAGCTACCCAGGTTATCAGCATTCGATACTTGTTTTATATGCTGTCCTCCCTGGGACATACTTTCTACATTGGAAGCAAACTAATTACCAGGTTGATATCTGTCTGAGCAAGTCAAGAAACCACCATGATGACAGGTTGCATCGCTGCCCCATCTATCGTTTGTTACCACAGTATCTTTGACTGGGCTGGAAACAGTATATTAATAATATATAAACGTATGCAACATAGTAAATTAAAATGTATTAAAGGGACAATAACACTCTTGCTGACTTGACAGCTCCAGAAAATAAATAATAGCCTTATTCTAAGTATTAGATGTTTAAGTATCCTACCTGTTGTGTAAATTATCCATTAAATCCTATTTTACTTGTCCAGAGGCTTCGAAAACATTTTTAAATCCAAGTCACATTTGAAAAGCTTTACGTTAGGCTTTTCAAATCATTTAGTTGAATTTTTCCAATTTTTTAAATTAGGTGTGTTAAGATAAAATTTGTATCATCAATTAATTGGAATATTGTAAAATAGTACAATTTGTTGACCAGAATAAAGATTGGGACATATTATTCAGTTACAACAAAAGTGGTATTGAGCCTTTAAATTAGGTATCTTGGGCTGATCAGAAATTACCCATCATCGAACTTATTCAAGGTAATCATGTAATTAGCTATTCACCAACCTTCACAAAGCCCACTGAATTAGAATCCAAGTTATCATCTTACCTTTCATTATACAACCAGGCTATAAAATCTGTTGACTTCCAATAATCACTTGAAGCCTCCCAATCGCCATCAGACCATATGACTTCCGGTTTGTAAGCGTTTACAATTTCATAAAGCTCTGGCAAAGTCTTTGTCTGCAATTTAGATTGCCGTATAATATAATCTCCCCTATTAATATACATTTACTTACATTCGGTTAATTACCCAACTACGCAGAGTACGAGAACTGCAATAGTGTAGCACTACCCTGCTACACCTTTTGTGACGGAGATCAAATGTAACACCATCCTGTTCATGTAAAACCCAAAAGACGTTAAGCACACCTTTATATTACAATAAATTGCAAAACGACACCAAAACAGATATGTGGCAATAAACCGTATTTGATATATACAAATCTATGACCTCAATATGACTAGAATATGACTTCATGTTGTAACACATAGCCCTTAAAAACCGTGTTCTTATGTGTTCATAAAGCAGAACACACCTTTGACACAACAACTATAACCGAATAAGAAATTAACTCTGGTGAACACCCATTTAACATCTGAATTGTAAATATACTTACATTGACAAAGTTTTGAGTTGTAAAATTATTGGCCTTATCCTGTAAATACAAAGGATGGAACCATTCAAAAAGAGAATGGTACAAACCAAAATGAAGTGATGTCTTTGTTTTTATAGCATTTGCAAGCTCGCCTGAAAATAAAAATATATTTTGAAATACGACGCATGTGCAATACGACACAAATCAACTCTAATAGACAATAGAGCCTAGGGCAGATCAAAATAGTCATTGCTCTTTTAGTGACTTAACTGAACACGCTCAAGTTTGTAAACACTACTCTTGATTATTTTGATAAAGTTTGGTGTTGTTCAAGCCTATTAATTAAGAACACTGTAGACAACTTGTAAAAAACCTCAAATACGTAGAGGAGATGGCACCTCGGCCTCCGTGGTTTTTTTTATAGAAAAGGGCAACCGCTGATACAATATTGACAAACGATTGTAAAGATGCCTATGCGTCATCAATAGAATGTAAAGTGAATAATATTACGAGTAGATAACACTGATTAATAGATTTAAATGATCTTTGAATCATTGATGCCTTTTGATATGCCTATGTGTATTATGAGTATGTGTTTGCGTTAGGCGGTATTATCTGGTTCAGTGATATTGTCTGCAGCAACGCATGCTGAGATAAGATTAATAGTATATTAAATCTTTTAAATCAGCGAGGTACAAGCTCCACTGTTTCTACAGTGAACGGATGACAGTATTCATATTGTTTCAAAATTTTTAACAATTATGGATACAATGTAGGCCTATCAATCCATTCAGCACAATAAAACAATGACTTTGCTTCTGGGACATTGGTAAAAGCCCCATGTCAACATTTTATATTTATGGAGTTTGGAATGTTTTATCGTCTTTTAGGACCATTAGCATTATATTTTATATTGTTAGATATCTGGCTATAGATCTTACCAACGATGTCTCGTTTAGGTCCTACAGCCATTGAGTTCCAGTTAAACGAATGATTAGAGGGCCAGTTTGTAAAACCTTCATGATGCTTACTAGTAAATACGATATATCTGAAAATAAATACTGAGAAATAAAATCCATTGATTAATTATACAAATTAACGAAATCTGTAAGGTAACTCGTGAAAGTCTATTCAACCATGATAACCACGATGCTGTATCACAGTTAAAAACGTACAACATATTGAGAACATGGTTATTGTGTGCATATAGCATATTCTACAAGCCAACAGTGAGGATGATTCCACAATAGATGCATTGTGTCCCATAAAGTGTGACAGACAGACAATAGTCCCATGCTTTCGTCGATGGGGGCATTAACGTACGAAACTAAATGAACAATGTATATTGACTTACTCTGCTCCAGAAGAATTAAAAATGTCTGCCCATTCATTGGCATCATAGAATTCAGCAGTAAATTGTTCAGCAAAATCAGCATAAGTAAAATCTGGTCTATAATTAGCTTTCATATAGTTGTCAAACGCTTGTAATTTGTCTCCTTTCCAATACGTCCAAAACCACGCCACCATACCATACGGAGGAAATGATATTGACGGTACCGAGAATACTCCCCAATGAATAAAAATACCAAGCTTTGCTTCATCATACCAGGATGGTAGTGGTCTACTGTCTATTGATTCCCATGTTGGGTCGTATCTAACTGCCGATGTGTAGTCACACCCTAAAAGCAGCAAGGCAGAATATAAACATGTACACGAGAGTAACATTCTTATTCAAACTGTGGCAAGTAGACTAAACGTATTTCTTGTAAGTTTCAAAGATAAAGCAGGATTTAACAGCTGTCATAGGCGGGTGTATTTCGTCCAGAACCCACGAGTTTTAGTTTTAGTCACTAGTATACGCTAATAGTATGAGCGGCCAATAGTTCACTGCTTAGTAGCGTACCATTAAAACTGTTTCGATTTATAGACCAAACATTACTTTGATGTGTTTTTGTATCGGAAGTCAGTTATTTTGATATTTATTTAAATGAAATAGCGTTTAACGTCCTACTGTTCTTCTCCGGCTGGGCTAATTCGGAATGACATACGTCATACAGTGTTCTATGGGGGAAATTTGCTTGGATAGCAGCGCTACGGTCTAATCTTGTATGGAATTCCATCTGCCAAGGGACCTTTTACGCGCACGCGTAGGTGTACGCGTCAACTCGGTTTCCCGTACCATCCAAACGACTGACTATACGTTCTCCCTTGTCAGGGCAATGTGTCATTGTGACGTGACCATGGTCTAGATCTAGAACACTTGATTGCTTCGTTGTTTACATTTAACCACGCTCCCATATATCTCAGTCTCTCTTCAAATATAGGATTAATTCTACCTTCTTTTGCAGGAACAACATTCATATATTACCACCACCGCTGTGTTTTTATAAAAATAAAACAGTCAATTATATTAAATTCTAAGTTATTTATATAAATACAATAAACCGACCATGTATGTGGACATTTTGTTTACGACGATAAATAAAATGCCATAAATCGTGAATTGCAATTAATGGCTACAACTACAAATTACATATAGTGTAGTACTTGGACATCACTTCTGGATCGTATCGAAATGCCAAGATGGCAAGTAGTAAATATACATTTCCTAGTTTTATGTTGCGTTACATCAAAGTCTAAACAAAGTTAACTTTCATAACATAAAACCGGTTATAATCACCTGACCGTTTCTAAAAAGTAGTTATTAATTGATGAGTAATTGTTAGGAAATCTTTAATTTCGGCGCTTCGTCTAAAATCCCGAGCTATACTATCAATGGTCATGGTATTTTCCCATTTTCTTTTCTGTAGTACACCTTAATTGAAAGTTTAATTGTATTTTTGGTCTTGTGCATGTTCACATCATATAATGTTCAAGAATCGGGTTAATTAATGAACCAGTTGAAATATCAAGTGATAACAGCCCCCAAAGTGATGGCACCAAAGCAGTAGATATGTGGCAATAAACCGTATTTGATATATACAAATAAATCTATGACCTCAACAGGACTTCAAGTTGTGTTCTTGTAATACGTAACACTTGAAAACCGAGTTCCTCTAAATATGTGTTTATATAGTAGAATGCATTTCTAATAAAACGGAAAAGACATCAGCACTGACAAACACATAATATATACATCTGATGTATATTTACATTGACAAAGATTACCTTTTCCTATAAATACAAAGGATGGAACTAGTAATTCAAAACAAGAATGGTATAAACCAAAACGAAGGCTTTGTTTTTTATAGCACTTGCAGGTTCACCTGAAAATAAAAGAATTTTGAAATTGTATGTATTTTCTTTAAGAAAATAAAGAGGGAAAGTGGGAACAATACATAGCGTGACGCTGATCAAAACAGCTTTAGCCCTTTAGTGACTTAACTGAACACGCCCATCTTTAAAACACTAACCTGGATTATTCTGATAAAGTTCTAAGTTGTTCAAACAGATTAATTAAAACATTGGGGTGGGGGCGACTTAATTGTAAAGAACTTAGATAAGTAGATCGCACCTTGACCTCCATGTTCGATGACAGAAAAGGGCTACCGTTGATACATTGACAAGCGAATGTAACGTGAATTTTACGAGTAGATAACACTGACTAATAGATTTGAATGATTATTGGATCATTTATGCCCTTTGATCTGCTACTTTTAGCCTTTATATGTACGGTCTAAAAGTCAGCCAAGAATACCAAGCTTTGCCTTATCATACCAGGATGAATTGTTTCAATGGCATTTAGTAATTGAACTGGGGCATACAGGTCACAATTCTATGGAATACAATTACTGCTTATTCATATTTTATCATTGCTTGGTAATGACTAGAGAAGCCTAGTCGAAACGTCGCTCAGTAAGAAGCAGTAATTGTATTCCATAGAATTGAGACCTGTATACATACCAGGATGGTAGTGGTCTATTGATTCCCATGTTGGATCGTATCTAACTGCCGATGTGTAGTCACTTCTCAAGAGCAGCAAGATGGAATACACACAAGTATACGCCAGTAACATCGTTATTCGAACTGTGGCAAGTAGGCTAAAAAAACTAGATAAAGTAGGATTTAACAGCTGTCATCGGCGGGCGTAATTTTTTCCATTATGGAAGACCAAACAGCTCTTTATTCGGCGTTCTTGATTCATAATCATTCTTACTTCTTAATTTGTTGTCGTCTTTCGGCATTTGTATACTAAAATTAACATGTTTATCTTAATATCAATATTTGTTTTACAAATCATTTTTATATCAGATTTTTAAGTTGTATCTTTGTTTAATTATATTGAAATATAACGATAGAATTTCTTTTAGAAAATCAAAATATTACATTTACATTACATCTGAAACATACAATGAAAAACAAATCTAGATTTAAAAAATTCCAAATACAAATCACCAAATACTAATCTTGCACAACCATTGTCAAAAGCTATTTCTCCAAATTCATCTAACCTAAATATTATGACCACAGATGACGCTAGTGGTGGGCTGTCAAAAGGCTCTTCATAAAGGATACATATAATTATCTCCCGCTATATCGTCTAATTGCCAATGATGAATCTTACCAATATTTTTTTTTATAGCAATGTCTTTGCTCCGATATAAATTTCTGGCTTTGGCGATATTACGACCCTTATCTGACGACAGTCATGAAATGACATGCATGTATGAACGACTTTCAAAAATGGCTTAGTTTTACTATTCTGTATTAATGATAATGTTGTTCCCTATTAAAGATACGTTCCTGCGTGCAAACTGGGTGATTTGATGATGTATTTGGACTAAAAACACATTCAAACTAATTAATCTATCAACATTTGCTTCAAATACTTCACAAAAAATCCGGTTTCCTCCCACTGCTAAAGACCCCTACGCGCAAGCGAATTATTGAAATAAAATTAAACCATATGTTAGTCCCGAAATGACCTAGTTTGTGTCGAGTGGACGTTAAACCCCAATTCTCTCTCTCTCTTCCCAAAAAACTGTTTTCGCGAGGGAATACTCTACTATAAAAAATCTATTAAAAGAAGTCATGTTTGTGTAACGTGACTTTGCTAACGCACTACCTAGCAACTGGTGCGAACCAGGAGGAGAATTTATTCACAAGACGATATTGTCTTTAATTACTAACCACGTGTTTTTTTATCTCAGAAAGTGGTGTACGTTTAGCTCTTCATCCAGCGCCCAATCATCGCGTGCTTCCTTTGCCGTGACGCGAGCCGTTTAGGGGAACCCTTACATGTTTGTCCTGTATGCAAGACTGGATATTTCTACTTTCCATATATACCAAAATTGCCATACTTTTATTGGAAATAAGCACCCGATAAATACTTTTCTGGGAAAGTATCTTTAAAGGAGACGCGGTGGCTCTGTGGATGGGCGCTATACCGGTGTTGACAGAAAAAATTCTTCTGGATTTTTCTACACTGTTGCAATTTTTAGTGGTGCAGGACGGATAAAAAGCGTATCGTCATTCGGATGGTATGAAAAGCGGAGGTCCCGTGTCCGTAATTCAGAAGATGGAATTCGAAATAGAAGTATGCCGTAGCGCCGCTGTCCGGACACAATTTTCCTCACAGTTTACTGTATGACGTATGCCAGTCTTTTGCAGAGTCGGTGCAGAATGTCGGGCGTTAAATCTCATTTCATTTCTGCTTACTATTAAAACACAACCGAACGTCATTGCTACTAAACTTTGGATTCTACAAGATGTAGTTCATATACTGACCTGCTTTGACTGATAACCCCGATGTTTGACTTATATGGTAGGGTTGGGTGGCCGAATGGCTCACGCGTGAGCGTTGCATCATCAGGTCTATCATTGGTCATGTGGCGTGGTTTTAGGGAGAGGGGTTTAATATAGGTTATGGCTGTTCCCCAATCCCTATTAAGATACAAATCTGAATAAAAAGGTTTCTTATATAAAAAAGGGCGTGATTTCGATTCCCCAGTAATACGTGACAAGGCGTACGGTCACCTGTCCAACCTCGTGGGTTGGCTCCGGGTCCTCTGGTTTCCTCCCACTGCTAAAAACCCCTACACACTAGCGAATCATAAATAAAATAATGACCTATTATACTCCATTTTTCTATCTCTTATAATATGTATTTCATCGTTGGCTTTGTATGCAACTGATATTAAAATGCTACATAGTGAGTCTGTTGATCAGATCATGCAAATATCTTCCTGATAGTTCTGAAAACATAAATCCTTCAAATTCTATTTTATTTCATAAATCTGCGTTCGGTGTGGAAGGTTTAACAACGTCCCCGTTAATAGAAAGAACTGACAACCAGTATAATATAAAATTGATTTAAATCGCTTTATTGGACTAGCAGCTCTTCATTCAAAAACAAATAGGTGTACGTCAACTCCGTGTACTTGTCATGATGCTTGGTAATTTTCGGGAAAAGAAGGTGCACAAGTACGAAACATATTCGAGGTCACAAAGATAAAGCCACCAGAATACGTCTTGAACCTATTTCTGTGATAAGTGTGAATATTGAAATTATGAATCCGGGGGCCTGTTTCACGAAATTTTAAGTAAGATAAAATCCAAATTTTAGTAATTTAATTGGATAGTATTAGATTGATTTTAGTGCTTAGCCAATCAAAATTGAAGTATCTACTAAAATTTGGATTTTATCTCTAGTTAAAATTTCGTGAAACAGGGCCCAGTTCGACAGTCCATAAAAATAAAAAAAAGACATATAAATCAGGGTTAAG